GGACACGGGGAGTCAGCGGGGGGTCATGGGGGGTCAACGTGGACACGGGGGTCAGCGAGGACACGGGGAGTCAGCGAGGACGGGGCCCCGGCGAGAAGACGCCCGCGCGCCCAGCTCACAGCAGGGCTTTAACGGCGGACGCGGCGCCGACACCTCCCAGGTCGCGGACTTGAGCGGCTGGTGGAAAATTCGGGGAGAGGCAGGAACAAAGCCCCGCAGCCAGGGGTTCCAGGCCGGCTCCGGGTACCGCGACAACCCCCGGCCTCGCGCCCGGGACGGTCCGCCTGCGCCTCGGCAGCTCCACTCACCAGGAACTGGAGCATGATGTCGGTGGGGAGGGTGAGGAAGCGACAGGACCCACAGCCGCTGCCAGGCCGATCCCAGCCAGCCTCCCCGAAGCGCGGGGCGGAACCCGCCGTCGACTTCCGGGTCACGTCGCCCACGCAGGGCACGCCCCTTCCTGTCAGACCCCATCACCTTCCCGACGGCCCCGCCCACAACACATCAGCCCCGCCCCCATCTGCTAGACCCCCGCCCCTCCCCGCTAGACCCCGGTCTCGCTTCCACAGGCCCCGCCCACGCCGCGCCAGGCTCCGCCCCGGAAGTCCGTTCTAGGCATGCAGATCTCGGTGGTAGAGCGCGAGAACACGCTGTGCTGGCTGCGCTGCTGTCTCGGGGTCCGGGGCTGGCAGCGGGTCATCGGGTCCATCCTCCTGAGCAGCTTGGCGCGTTCCGTGCTCCGCGTCCAGCACCAGGGTTCACACCTGGGCCGGGCCCAGCCCCTCGCCCCGCCGGAAGGGCAGCCCAGGGGGTCACTAAGATGGCCTGCGCGGGCTCCGCCGAGCGCGCTGGGTTGAAAAGTCCGCGGGACCAGCGCCTCCGGAGAGGGACGAGTCCGGGCCCTGCATGGTGCCTGCCTGTCCCGCTCCCGCGCGCTAACTCAATTCCTCTGGAACCCGGCCTCCCTTGCCAGCCTGCGCCAACACTGGTTGGACTGGTTCCCTGTGGTCAGTGAGCCTCCTCTCCTCCACAACCACCGCAGCACGCACACCTACAACGCAGAGGTGCCCTCAGGACTGGAGGAAGATTCATCAACAACCTGCATTATGCAGATGACACAACCTTCCTCACCAAAACTGAGGAGGTTGCTGTGCATGTGCCGTTGTGACAGGACAGTTTCGTGTTCACGTGGCCCCAACTCCACAGCCACATCGACTCACTTTGAACATTGAAAATAATGTTTAAAACACCAGCTGAAAAGGATATGGAACATCTGCTGCAGAGGATCAAAAAGCCTTCAGTAGAGTCAAAGCTCAACAATAAATGTTGAGCCCTCAAATACGGGTTACATCTCAACGTCAAGAAAACAAAAACCCTCACCATAGGCCAATAGGCAGCATCATGGTAAATGGAAAAAACACAGAAATTGTTAACGATTTCATCTTGCTTGGATCAACAATCAAAACCCTTGGTACTAGCAACCAGGAAATCAAAAAACATACTGCACTGGGAAAGTGCTGTTAGGGACCTCTCCAAAGTGCAATAATGTCAGTTTAAACTAAACTGTACGTGCTTAAGACTAAGGTGCACCTGTTCTAAACCATGATCTTTTCAGTTACTTGCTATGCAGCTGAAAGTGGGACAATGAATAAGGATAAAAGAAGAATCAATGACTTTGGATTGCCAATAGGGCAAACAAATACGTCTTGGAAAAGGACAGCCAGGGCCCTTCTTGGGGGCATGGAAAGGGCAACTTGATCTCACGTGTTGTTAGGAGTGACCGGTCCTTGAAAAAGGATATCATACTTGGAAAGGTAGAAGGTCAGCGAAGGACCCTCAAAGAGACGGACTGACACAGTGATTCGAAGAGTGCGCTCGAGTGAGAGAGGATGAGGAAGGCACCAGGTGGAGCGAGGTCCAGGTCCTGCATATGCTAAGATTGCAGCAAAGGGGCACCAGGAGAAGCCGGGGCGTTCCCAGAACGTGCCTTTAATGACACCTTAACACACCCCTGGGGAAACCACCACTCAGGACGGTGAACCTGCCGGATCACCAATCATGTGCACTGTTTTCTAGATAAAATTTCATACCTTTTTTTTAAAAAAAAAATTTATTCTCTATTAGTGATGATGGCACCAGGCAAAGAAAGTTTACAGAAAAGATGTCCATATATAAAGGAAGAAATACAAAATATTTTTTTGGTCATAATTTAGAAACAGGCTATATCTATAAAAAGGAGGACACTCTTCCCAGCGGGGCTGGAGCCGGCACTCAGCTCCGTGCTCCCCTCAGCAGGCCGTGGATCCGTCTGACCAGGGCTTGGATAAAACTGTAGTGAGACCGCACCTTTGAATACAGTCCTTCAATGTCCAGAAGTTTCTTCTGTAGTGATTCTCCAAATGCATGGACGGCATCAGCTTGAAGCTGGAGGCAACACAAGTGACAATTACTGGAAATGCTGTCTCGAATGTTTCTTTAACTCTCTTACTATTTAAATGACCTTTGAAGTTTTATGATGTAATTCTTACTCAGATACCAAATTAACACTCACATTCTGCAATTTTTAAGCATGCTTTCCTTTGCAGAAATGTAAACCAGGGGCATATCCTGGTATGTTCTTAAGCGTTCTCATGTACTTTGAAAGGCACAAATAGTTTCTGATATTATTTAGAAACAAAGAAGTTAGTAAATGTGAGATGAATCTCCCTGCCTTCAATCTTGCATTAAAATCAAGGCAGATTCTTTTGTGAAATTATTGCTAGTCCTGCACTTTACCCCTAACTGCACGGCAGACAAGTCTGAGGAAGCCTTCATTCCACGTGAACTTACTGAACATTCCCCGTGTTCTGGTTGGCCCATTCTCTAAAGAATTCTGCCCGACTCCACTTGGCACTAGCTTTACAGGAGCCCAGCACTGAGGGACGGGCTGAGGAGTGGGGCCCATGCAGCTCTGAGCTGGGTGGAGACCACTTCAGTGTTACAATCAGTAACAGCCTCACAGCAGACTGTTCCTCCATCATATCCGGGGAAACTCTCTGCACTTGGTTAAGAACAAGACTTAGCTACGAGCTGAATAGGATGCTTTTATTTCTCCCTGTCTGGGGGATGCTCTTCCTTCACAAGCAGGATTGATCGGAAGACTAGGAGGTGCACAGGGAAGCCCTTGCACAGTGCCCACCATGTCTCTGGAGTGGAACAGTGAAGGATGCTCACAATTTCACCAATGACTGACGTCCTGAAAACCACGTGCTGAGTGATACTTTGTGCCTGGAAATTCTAGTTAATCAAAAGAAAAAAAACCCACAAAGCAGGACCTCTGCTGTCTTGGGTAGGAAGTGGCATTTCCAGATAATAACGCTGGCCATTTCCTGTTTTGGAAGCATCACTGTAGGAGGCGTGCATCCAGCAAACTCCAGAAAGTCTGACAAATCCGCCACAGACTCCATTAATTCCCATCTCTTTAGAGGACATGGAGGTGCGGAAGTTAAGTTGCTCCAAGTCACACAGCTATTTGGTGGTCAAACCAGATGTGAACCCTGACAGCTATTAACCATGACCAACAATCAGGCTCTTTGACTTTAAAGAAAACCAAAGCCAAACTGAGGCCTTCCCCTGGCCTAGGTCAGGACACACCCCTCACCTGGTCTATATCGTGTTGGCTCACAACAGTCATCCCACTTCTGAAATCCAGGCCACTGTCTGAGGCAAAGGGATCTAGAGAGAAAAGACACAGTCACAGCAGCTTTGCCAGCATCTGTTCTCGGACAGAGTGAGAGAAGCTGGCGGCAATGAGCAGTCAGACAAACGACACCGGTGGTACCAAGCGAGCTTGGCTCAGAGAGAGCCAGTGGGCAGAGCAGGACAGCGCCCAGGGTCACAAGGCTACAATCCTTATGGAACAGACCAGTGTCAAGTAAAGACAAGAGTCAACCAACAGTGGGCTGATGTCCTGGACAACCTGTCACTGGTCTGAGTCCCAGGTCTCCAGTTTGGCTTCTCCCACCCATAAACTGCATGGATTCCAGCAGTGAGAACTGAGGTCCAGGGTGACCTGTGCCCTTCTTCAGGACCAATACCTGTGACCAGAGGCTCTGGGCAGGCTTAGCCCTTCCCTGAAGACGCCATGAATGGCCTCTAAGAAGCAGTGTTCAGTACCACATCCCACATGCAGAGTGAGTGCTCTGGGTACCCACTCTCGGGGACCAGGGAACATACAGTGAATACAAGGGGAACGAGTGTTTCCAAACACCAGAACCACAGACCCAGGTGCTCACAAGCTCCCGGAATCCAGCTTACCCTGTAGCCGTCTGCTTCTCACCAAGGTCCTGGAGGCAAACAGGGTGTCCTGGGAGTCGGTGGGCGTGCAATGCAGCAGGTAGTACTCCAGGTGGCGCCACAAAATGAACAGGCAAGTCTCTATGATGACTGTACACGTGCTCGAGTTAAAGAAAATGACCTCATCGCTGATTTCTCCAGGAGGTTTGAGGAAGAAAAAAGAGACTGCCCCCCTCCCTGGTGTGGTGCACACACCTCCACAAGTGGGGCATCCCAAGGAGGAGCCTCCGTAAACAGCTGCCGAGGAGGAAAGGGGATGACTGGGCAGCGGACCATCAGATTCCAGGGCCCTCCTCCACTGCGCAGCGGAGAATACAGGTTACTGCTGTGGCAGTGTTGCTGAGAGGTTCACATTCACAGTGACCCTCCACATACGAGAAAAAAAGCCCTGCTCCTCCGACTCACAGCCATGCCTGAACCCACTGCGGCTACTACTGTGTCAAGCCACCCCTAGGAGGGTCTTCCTGATTTTCACTGACCCTCGACGTTACCAGCATGACATAACCAAAGTCAAACCCACTGCAACTGATTCCATTTCAGCTCACATGACCCTGTAGGGTGGAGTACAACTGCCCCACAGCTTCCAATGCTGTAACTGGAACAGGAGCAGACGGCCTCATCCTCTCACAGAGGAGCTCGTGGATTCAAACCACCAACCTCCTGGTTAGCAGCCAAGCTCCTACGATGTATTCCCAGCTACTCTAACAGAACGAAAGGTATGGAGAACTTTCAGTCAGGAAATGTGTAAGGCAAGGGAGCTTTGGTGGCCTAGTGGCAAGAAGCTGCACTGCAATCCCAGAGGTATGCAGTTTGAATCCACCAGATGCTCTGCTGGAGAAGGAGAGGCAATCTCCTCCTGTACCAGTCAGATCCAGTTTGACGGTACACATACAAAAAGTATATTTAAAAAAAAATGTGTAAGGCAATAACTGGGTGTAGGGAGAGGGGGAAACCCCAAAGCTCTAACTATTATGGTTTTGGTGCTGAAACAAGAGAATAAGTAAGCAGGCCCTTCACTACGACCCCTTGGCCCAGAACCCACACCCTGCTCGTCCCCAAAAGGATACAGGAACACAGAGAAAGGAGTTTTGCGCGGTTGTTGATCAACTTCACCAAACACCGTCTGGCTAGAACATATTTCTGGGCAGTGGAGATTTTATCAACTCCAGCAGGCATCGCAGACTGGCACAACTAGGAGAAAAAACACGGGCACTGTCAGGAAAGGCACAGGCTGCAGCAGAAACTCCACAAAAGCAGATGTGAGCAGGTCGCTGTGACGGTGCTGGAGGAACCACACAGACCGTGAAGGCACCAGGCAGGCGGGCTGGGGATCTAAGCTAAGACGTGATCAAGTGCAGAAGAGGCGAAAAGTAAGCAGGGTGAATTCATAAACGAGCGTTCTTCTGCTCCCTCTGAAAGCCACACCCCTGAGACCGGCATCTCCGATCTGTCTACATGGCTCCCAGCTTGGCTTCCTGTCAAATTAAACAAAAGGACAGACTGGAAGCCGCAGGCACACGTGTAGAGGGTGCCCTGCTTCCTGTCAGCAGCTACTACCTCACCTGGTGTGCCCACTAGCTGCTCACTGTGCCTCAGTTTCCCCACCTGAGACAAGGGAGTGGCATCAAAGCCTGGGTCAGGCCCAGCATGCGGGCTATAAGTCCTCAGTAAGTGTGATATGTGACCACTAAGTGGCCAGGAGGGAGCCTCGCCTGCTCCCTGGAGAGTGAGGTTACACAGAAAACTTGCTATGAAGCAGGACTGGCAGATCAGATCAGTACCCAGGCCACAGGGCACTAAAAAAACAAACAAGAAAAGAAAGGGGAAAAAAAGGCGAGCTCTAGTAGCCTAGTGGCAAGAAGCTGCACTGTAATCCCAGAGGTGAGCAGTTTGAATTCACCAACTGCTCTGCTGGAGAAGGAGGGACAATCTCCTTCTGTACCAGTCAGATCCGATTTGACAGTACACACATACACACACAAAAAAATTTTAAAAAAGAAAATAACAGGCTTCCACAGGACACAGCACTGCCTTAGTGACTGGGCCACAGTGTCCAAGGGTTGTGCTGTGACAAGTGGAAAGGAGGAAGGCCACCCTGACGTGAGCCTTGTGACAGCACCTCAGGTTCAAGTCCCTGGGAACACTTCCTGGTTGCTGTAGGAGGCAGTGGTGCCTGGTTTGTTTGAGAAATTCCCTGGGTGGACACGATCCAGTGAAGGCGCTGAGAAATTTCCTGAGGCAGGATCCAGCGCAGAAGCCAAGACTGAAACACAGCTGAGTGTTACGAGCTCAGCTGAAAGGAAACAACCTCACTGCATACATTTCAGGGTCTTCAAGTCTAACTGCCAAGCCTCAGTGCTCCAAGGACACCTGTCTTTCCCTGGACAATCTTCTGGAACGTGTGCCCTGTGCTTCCATTGAAAGCTCTCTCCTGGGGAGGTGGGTGCAGGACCCTCCTCCCAGTTGCCGAGAATGGTACCCGCTCTTCCAGTCACACTGCACAAATCGTCTCTACTTCCGAGGCCGAGGCCAGCCCTGGGCCCTACTAGTAAGAGTCTCGAAGCACGTCCGAGGCCCGCGGCGGCCATACCTCTTTGATCTCGTCTGGGGGCAGCTGCTCCACGCTCTGCAGCTTGCTGACGCTGCGCCGATGGCTGTCGTAGTAGCTGAGGAAATCCCTGGCGCTCTGCTTCAGCAGGTAGACAACGATGCCCAAGCCTGGGAGCCGCCAGTGCGGGACCACCGGAACCTGGGAGTCTAAGGGAGTGGAGGGTTTCAAATAGGGCTGTGTTACAGTCGGTTTCTACAACTTTCAAATAGCCTGCCTGGAAGCACGAGGTGTCCACGAGCTGACCAAGCCAAGACTACTCGTAAGTACTATTCACGGTTCAAAGGAGAGGTGAGGCATTCCTATAATCAGGTGCAGACATAAGGCTGGGGACCACGAGAGAACAGGACGCGTGGAGGCTGGGACCATGCGTGAACAGGACGCGTGGCCAGCAGACATGAGCAGCACTGGCCCTATACTGAGTGTTTTAAACTGTACCTCTGCCCCGACCCACAAACACACAAGCACAAACTACTGCATACATACACCATGTCTGGGGGCTTCTTTCCCCAGATGGGCCCCTCCAACACCACCCTCCAGGTTTAGTCCCAGGGCCTCATTCACTAGTCAAGTCTCAGTTTGATGAATTCTTCCCCAAGACACAAGGATAACTCCAAGATTCAAGAAATTCAAAACTAAAAACTAACTGCCACTGAGTTGGAATTGACTCATAGTCACCCCTCCAGTAGGTTTTTGAGGTTAAATCACACAGGAAGAGATGGCCCATCTTTCTCTGTGGATTTGAACCTCTTGCCTTTGAATTGGCAGTGCAACTCTCTGCCATTAGGACACCAGTGCTGCCTTGAGAAAGAGGTCCATAATTTCAAGTTCAAGGTGGTCGAATGGCCACACCACCTTGAATACTGTAGGGAGACCTGCAGGGGCCTCCTTCCTACCACCCCCCTTCATGGTGCCCCAGACTCACAGCTGGTCCTGAGAATCAGGGGGCGAGGCTCACCTTGGCGCGGCCCGTCCCAGTTGATGGTCTCGGAGAGGCTGGGGGTGAAGAGGCACACGGTATGCTGGAAGGTGGGCGAGCCCTGCAGGATGAGGGCCTGGCAGTACTCGACGACATTGGCACAGATCTACGACAAGAGAGCACAGGAACTCAGCGTCAGCCCGCAAATGCCTAACGCCAGGGAGACCCCAACTTGAAGGGGGCAATGTTAGAGGTCAATTTCTAAAATCACTCATACTGTTTAGTCATTTTTTAAATGAAATATTTCAAAGGGGGAAATGTTCTTCAAGACCCCCTGCCCCATACCTGTTTCATAGACAGTTCAAGTTCATCCTTCTTGCTCACACGGTCACCGTCCACATTTTCATCTTGAAATTTAAACTGGCGCAGTCTGTCGGAGCCGCCAAAGCGACTGAGCAGCCCCAGGCACTGACGCTGAGAAAGAGAAAGACAGGCGCTGCTTTCTAGCTGAGGGTTTAAAATGAGTGGCCTGCCCTTGTGGGCAGCTCAAAACAAAAACCCAACTGGCAAGGGGGGGATAAGTAAGTGTTAAAGGGTTAGATGTCTTAAGTAAGTCAACTAAAGCCTGCATTATTAAAATTCACCTTTATGCATATATATATTTGACTGGCAGTCGGCTCATTAAAAGAAACTAAAGTTTAACAATTAGTCCCAAATAAAAGCTGAATGTCTGCCAAAGAATTCTCTGCATCAAAGCAAAAGGAGGGGGTATCTGATGGTGCACCACTCACTCCACAGTGAGGGCCCTCAGTTACAGCGGCTTCGAGAGCCACGCGGAAGGTCAACACAGAAGTTATACCAGCTGTAACGGAAAAATGATGCCATAAAGAGGCATCGAAGAATCTAGAAACCATCTGAGAGAAGCCACAGGGGTGTGGACAGAAAGGCAAGGAAGTTGTAGGAATTCCGCACTTTGTAACAATTGTTACAGTGTCGCAGAGATACAAACTCTTAGAGCAAGCATGCAGAGCAGAGGGGAGAACAAAAAGCCTATTTTAAAACGGGATTGTTGCTATTAAAGACAAGGTGTTCAGAACTTGCTGAAAATACAAATTACAGAAAAGATACAGACCTATTCACTACTTATTTATCTAGATATGGTGGCCTAGTGGTAAGAAATTGTGCAGCCAACGCAAAGGTAGATGGTTCAAATCCACCATATGCTCTGCGAGAGAAAATGGGCAATCAATTCCCACACAATGCTTCTGAAAACCTGCTAGAGAGTCAGCTTCAAACACTACCTTACACCACAACAATATATGGAAAATGCAATCTTATTTATTTTACATGTTATCTATAGATATTCCTGAGATGTATCAGCAAAGAACACTTCCCAAAGAACGTTGGTAAGTTGGAGCAAAACTGGCCCCTAAAGAAAGGAGTACCGCTTACCTGGAATCGTCCAATATGTCCCTGCAGCTCCATTAGAGACCCTTCATTCACATCAACGTCAAGTTCCCTTAAGATACCTGTCAAATTAAACATGCGCTTGGGTGTAATGCAATCAACACAATAAAGGGGAGGAAAACCAAAATAAAACCATCAAAACCAGAGAAAGCAGCCTATTAAAATTCTTATCTATGAATTACTATTTAATAATATTACAGCAGCCTATCAATATTCCCTATTTATACTCGTCAAAGGATAAGCAGGCAGCACCTTACCATTTAGAGGTTTTGAGAAATATGATCTTACAACGATTCTAAGTGTCTTTATAGATACTAATTAGTATCAGCACATCCACAGTCATTCATATGCAACCAGAAATCAACACTACTGAAGTAATGATTTTAAAAAGTATGTAAGTTTTTAAGAAAAATCCAATTTTTATATATAATCATTAAAGTGAAATTGTCTTAAACTTAGCAATAAATTTTTCTTATTAAAGAGTTTAGGAAAGAAAACATTTAAAAAAATTCCATTTTCTTTTTCTTTTTCAACAACTCTAATAGCGTCTAGTACCATCTGACTTCCTCCCTTAGAGAAACTACTGTTCGCCTGAGAACAAATTCCCATTCACCACAGACTGAAACGCCAGAGCTCCCTGCTGGCAGAACCGAACATCTCGGGGGGTTGGCCCCATGGCAGGGTTTGGCCCCGTGGTTTAACATTCAGGCCATGGCTCCAGGACACAGCCCAGCTCACCGCCTAATAACGTGCCTCATCCTTCTGCTCTGCCCCCCAGGTCATGGCGCTGCGCCACCCAAAGCCCGGCAAACAGTCTCTGTTCTCCCAGAACTACACAGGCAGGACGGTCAGAAGAGGAGCTTACGGAATGTCAATTCTTGTAAAAGGTAGAAATTCTGGAGCCACAGAGTGAATGAACCCTGAAACTACTGCCTTGAGATAAACCAAAAATATCCCCTAGAGTCATCTTAAAATTGAACTGTACTTTTGACTAGTCTGCCTTGAGCAATATGCTCTTCTAAGAACTGCAAGATGAAGTAAGCACTTTAGGAAGCAGGGAGCTGTCACTGATGAGAAAAAAACAACTCAGAACAGAGGATGGGAATGACTGGCACTCAGAGGATTGAGTGTTACTAAATTACGTGCACAATATCTGATGCAGAGTCATATTACTGTGTCTGTTTCTAACAATAAAAGAAGATAAAAAGAATTGGTGATTGCAGCAAATCCGTGCAGACAAAAACTAAAGAACTGAGGGTATTACGGTGAACAGAACTCTGACAAATAATATCAGCAACATAATCTGAAGGTGGTTGGCTTAGTGAACAGAAAGTGACACTACCAAGCCAAAGGTGACTGATTTTAATCTGCGGCCCTCAGGCCTGGTTTTAGTTGTTTTTGGTCAAACATTCTTCTAAGTGGTCTGTCCATTTGCTGTACAGAGGTAACCTGTGGTTGCCGTGATACTAAACACTGTGACAATGATGTGCCAAAGGTGATAACGGTCACCCGTGGTGGACAGTGTTTTGTGGAGTTCCCCTATTAAAACAAGCCTAGAAGCAGAAGTGGCATCCACTTCCAAAATGGCTTTCCTCCAGAAACCCTATGAACACAGAGAAACGATGAAAGTTATACAAGTGTTCAGGTCTTTCGTTCACAGGGTTGCTACCAGTCATCTACGACAATATGGCACTTAACAAAAACACCAATCTGAGGGTGAAGAGGATGTATAATGAATTAATCCATCTCTCAGGTAAGTTTCTGGATTCTATTAAAAACGGACACAGTGAAAAGGTTATATGGGAGGAAAAATAGAACAAAACACCTTTCTTATAATGACCAAACCACCGTAAATGTATTTATGGTATTCTTTTTCACCCACAGTGATCTTTTTAGGACTTAGCTCCCTCTTTTAGAGTCAAGAAACACCTGGAATTCTGTACACACCGGTTTCACCTTGGCTACTGTTGATATGGACATACACACACAGCAGTGTTTGAAAAGCTGCTTAACAAAACATACTTCAATATTTTTATAACAACTATCATCCTTCTTAATAAGATAAACTTACTGGGTTGGTTGGTTGTTTTTTTTTTAAAAAAAGACATTTAGTTATATTAAAATCCTCAATTTCATATAAATCATATGCAGCTGCAAAATAACAAACATATTATTCTTGTATCCTTGGTGGTTCTCTGGTTAAGTGCTCAAGGGCTAACATAAAGGTCTTAGTCGGAACCCACCGGCCATTCTACAGAAAAAGATAGGCAGTTGTTTCCTAGAAAGATTACGGCCTGAGAAATCCTGTGGACAGCTGAACTCTGACCCTGGGGTCATTATGGCTTGGATCCGACTTGCCAGCAGTGGGCGGGCTGTTGGTGAGTGAACTCCAGTCTGGGAGGATTTCCTAGCATCATCCCCACATCACCCACTCACCAGGCAGGGCTGCTTTGCTGATGATCCCGGTGAGCAGAGCCAGCTCCTGCAAAGAGCCGGCACTCACGTCCTGACAGCGCAGGATTGCCTGGATGGTGTCCGAATGCGAAATGAGGAACTGCAGCACCTGTCAGGTGGGAAGTGGAGAAGACAGACACATGCAGCAGAGCAAAAACTGAGATCAAATACCTACCATCTTTGCAGTTACACATTTATTTCTCCAAGAAACGAACATCTCACTGAGATTCATTACTCATCTTAAGACAGGCAGTATTTCCAAGGTTACAAAGCAGCACACTGAGGGGACACCACAGAAGGGACAGTCTAACTTAGGGTCACTATGTGAGAGCTACTGTCCAGCCCCACTCAGCGGCTTTGCACCTTTGTCCAGAAGAGTAAGAATTTAAAATGAATGGGCATAAAAAGGACTGCCGAATCCAAGAAGTTGCTATATGAAACAGAATAGTCACCATGAAGTTTAAGTCTAATTCTCCTTTTGACATGGTGAACCCAGAGGAGCTGATAAAATCCTGCCTTTCAAATTCTGCTTCTTTCCCCCGGCCTGTAACAGGGTACCCTGCAGCATCCAGTGATCCCTCCATGTATGCCTGTCTAACCAATGAGAGTGTACTCGCCTGAGAGCCAGAAACTGAGCCCAAGCAGGGAGAGAACCTGGATCCCATGGGAAGGAAGTCTCTGTTAATTATTTTAACACAGACTCTTGACCTCAGTTCTTAACTGTTAGGCCGGGAGTAAGCAATCTCTTTGGTTTTTGTTTTTATAAGAAACTGCTTGGGTGCTTCTGTAGCCATCAATAAATGACTGGTGTCAGAGAATCTATGTCTGTTATCACTGCAACCCAGTTCTACAAAATAAACTCCTTGTCTATAAACGGCAAGAGAAGGAAAGTCCAGGAGGCTTACAGTAACTTACAGGCCTCCTGTGACAGAAGCAGAACCTTGTTACTCTAACTCGCACAAAGGAAGGTGCTGAGAAAGCAGCTGCATTCTAACTGTGAGCTCAGTCCAGGGCTGGTAGTCAGCCCAGCAGACCAAACCATCATCTTCCCAGGTCTGATCATTCCTGAGGCCCCTGAGAAAGGGAATCTCAGTGGTTAGAGAAATACAGCAGAGGGTGGTAAGATCCAGGTGATGAGCCTGGCTGAGTCCGAGAAAGGCTAAGCTGCACAGCAGCAGTTTCAAGAAGCCGAGAAAGATAGAACGTAATTTTAGTTATCACTAAAAACCAATAAACATTAACTATTGGTGTTTCTAAGGGAAAAAAAACCCTTTGGTTGCTAGATAATTCACTTAAAATACTCCACTCCAATATTACAAATAAATGTGGAGTTACCATAATTTTCAGCAAGGCTGAGCACAACACAGCAGCCAATTCTCAGCACCACCGACTCTCACTCTAGAAGCCACTGGTCCCTGTCCGAGTGAGTGGGTCCTCTTGCAGAAGAACAAAATTAGCGCTCTTGCTTCCCATCTCACTCTCCTATTCATTTGCTACAGGGCCTCATTCAAGCAAGACTACAAAAGCAGACCCATGCCCTGGGGAGCCAACTACAACGGCCTTCTGTGCTCTCGCTTTCTATGCCCAGCTCTGCCCAAAGGTAGGACAAGGCTACGTTCACAGAACCTTCTGCATCTAAACAATCTCCACACCCAGGCCCCTTACCTGGCCAGCTGCCTGCAGGTGCTGGGCCATGCTCGACGTCAGGATGACCTGGCACAGCTGGAGGGCGGGAAGGAGGATCTGCTGATACCGGTCCGCTGGGGTGGGGATGAACATCGGGGGGTCTCTCATGCCAAACATTCTTGATGCATCACAACCAGCAAAGAGATCAACAATATGAGAGTTAGGACAGTCCATGTTATAGACTACTTCCATCTGCAAGGCAGACCAATCACAGCCCACCAATGGAGATGTGGAGACACGCAGTTCTCAGCACCTCTACAGAGTCAGAATCCCTAAAAATTGGCTTTTCTGGCCATTGTGTTTGCCCCCATTGAAAGAGCTTGGTCTCCAGTTACCTTATCTGTGGACACATGGCCTTGCAAATCAGCTGTGCAAAACAGCCGTGTGACCAATAGAAGAAAGCAAGCTTTCCACACTGAGATACCCTGGTGATGGTGGCAGAAAGAGGATGAAGAGACTGTGGCAAGGTGTAACCCAAGGAACCCTGAGATAAAGACCATACTTGCTTGCTGGATGATTGAAGGAAAAGCTGACTTGTAACTACTCTGAGGCAAAGCTTGCTGGGTAAGGAAACCAATCTTGCATTTGTGCTGCTGAAAGGAACCTGGAGTTTCACTAATTGGGGAATTGTACCTTGTTAATCTGGCTTGGGACAGCTGGACTAAGCCTGAACATGGGTGATATTCTTTAAACCCCACAACTGTGAAAAAATTCTGTGAGTCAACAATGAGTATCAGACTCAATGACTGGTAGATCTAGGCACAGGAACATGGGAGATGGCACGTCTGACCTTGTAGCTAAGTCTCTTCTGCTGTGGATGTTGTTAATGGGGACAGTTCCCTTTATGAAATGGGGAGAAATCACACTCAGCCACACTCACATTGCAGTTGCTCCTTAAACAACCTCATTCACACACTGGCCCTTTACTAAAGACAGGCATTTCTGCCTAACTATATAGCTTCACAAGTAAACACAAAATCATTGGAATTTTTAAAATTTCAATTGTGAAAATCTACATGTTGTGAAAATAAGGCTTGACACTTCCGAAAGAGATTCACTGTACTCTAAATGTTCCCGTGGGGCACAGACCCCATGGATTAGAGAGAGATAAAGAGAGACGCTAGTTTCCCTAAACTTCCTTTTCCTGTACTCAAACCCAAAATGAAGCTACACTGGCAACTACATAAAATAAAACCAGATTTTTTTTAAAGGTAGAAATTGGTATGTAATATTACTTAGCATTTAGGATCACTTCAGAAAACTATTAATAAAACTACGATCTGTTGTAACACTTTAAAAAACACATACACACAAACAAACCAGAATGGGTGCCTGCTGAGAAGAGGCCAGAAGCAGAGAGGAAATAAAGAGACTACAGCAAGAGCATTCAGTACAGACGACACTTCAACAGAGAAAACAAAATACAGCCAAGCCAATGTGCAACATCACAATGCTGTTGTTGATAGGTGCCACTGCGTCCAGTACAACTCACAGGGACCCTATGAACTAAAGATCTGAACTCTGTTCTGCCCTGCGCCATCCTCAACTTCCTGACACACAAGAGCCCACTGCAGCAGTCACCGTGTCAATCCACCTGGCTGAGGGTCTTCCTCTCCCTGACCAACCCTCCACTCATCCCAGCATCATGACCTTCTCCAAGGAGGAGCCCCTTCCAGTAACATGTCCAAAGTATGGGAGGCAAAGCTTCACCATCCTTACTTCCAAAAAGCACTTTGGCTGCACCATGGCAAATAGAGAAAAAAACTGAAGTTGATTTCATTTTCCTTGGCTCCGTAAGAAACACTTGTGGACACAGCAATCAAAAAGTCAAAGTTTTGCACTGGGCAAATCTGCTGTCAAAAACCTATTTTAAAGTGCTAACGGGCAAGGATGCCACTTTAATGACTAAGGTGTGCGTGTACGCCCCAAGCCATGGTGCTTTCAATTGCTTGGTATGCATCTGATAGCTGGCCAATAAATGAGGAAGATCAAAGAGCTAATGTGTCGTTCCTGGAGATGTCACAAGCAGCAGCGTCAGGGGACACTCACCTCGGGTGGTCCGTTTCTGGACGCATGTCGTAAACCTGGCACTGGGCAAGCCGCACAATCACGCCAGTCCTCAGCAGCTCCAGAGCGCCCTGCTGAATCTTGGCCACTCGGGTGAGGAACGCCTAGGGAGTTATAGATACCACGTCACTGGTGCTGAGACCCCGGCCCAGGGCCTATGTACAAACAGAGCCTGTGAGCTAGCCGGGAGGGGCCACACTGTGCCCCGCCTCTCAGGGAACATTCATTGCGAGCGTGTGATGACTACCCCATAAGGACAGACCCTTACCATTTTGGATTCATAAGTGTAAAGGGCTTTTAGCAGGGGAGGCTGTGGGGTGAGCAGGCTCTGCAGCGTGTGGTCATCTTCCATCAGGCTGTCCACGAGCACCTTCAGATAGCCACTGTTGGAGAGGTACAGCAGCCACTGTTGCTGCTTGTCCACAGAGATGATGCGGTCCAGGAGAGCCAGGGCCAGCATCTGCAGAAAGAGCACACTCAGTTCCATGCCGTGGAGCGGTCACCCTGGCCCGCCCGCCCGCCAGCTGGCCATCAGCAAGCACTCGGAATCTGCCAACCCACGCAGGTTGCTTCCGGTAAACTGCCTTACTGTGCTTTTGTGTGAATTTGAAAACATGTATGTAAAACCATGATTTTGTCATAAAACAAATCTTTAAGGGTAAAGTTCTACTTCTGAAACACACCTAACACGTTAAAATAAAGCATTAAATATATTCTAGCGAGTTCAGTTATTATTTGCTACAAAAAATATCATTTAAAAAATATATCATTTTTTACTTGCTATTCACATAAAACTTAGAAACCATGGAAAAGCATATGAAAAAGTGTATCTTCAGATAAACATAAGTAATTCAATTTTGGTCTGTTCCTTCCTGATCTTTTACCTATGTATAAAAAAAACTTTATTTTTAATATAACTGAGGCTTTATTATAGTTTATCTTTACTCCACTTTTAAGAAATCTGCCTTCATTAAGAGATCTTCAAAAACATGATCTACGTGGTTTTCTGCTAGCAAAAAGTTCTCTTTTTTCAGCACAATTACCAGCACATCACAATCCTGTTAAGAAGTGAAAATGTAGATTCTCCTCTCCCTTTTTCTCTCCCTCTATCACACACAGAGAACATTAAGGCAGAGAGAGATCTGTTCAGTAGAAGGCTATTCACCCAGCATTCTCTTAAGCATAGACTGAAATAGCAGCGTCTCTGTTCCTCCTATCAGTGTAAGGCTAACCTCAAGATTAGAAAAAGAGCATTCTATGGAAAGTGCTAATTAAGATTCTGAGCTGAATTAAAGAAAATAGGTGAAGCAAAATAGAAGTCCTGAGTCTGAGATGATAAATGCACTGTGATGTGATGACGAAAACACCTCTCAGTGCCTCGCCTCCCGGTTCAAAGTCCGGACCATTCTGCCAGCCAGACGTGAGCAGCGCCAGTGCGCACGTACGCACCCGTCCGATCTCGTGGCCGTCGCAGGCATCCCGGCACACCACTTCCATGAGCGCCGCGCCGTAGCTCTCAATGATGGCGATGTTCTCCCGCTGCAGCTTGCTGAACACGTCCTCGGGGGCCGTCAGCCTCTCCCACATGGTCTCCTGGGCTAACAGCACAAAACAGAAGAAAACTGAAAACACTCGGAGGAAAAACTGGTTTTGCAGCTAAGTGATTACTCCTTAGATGCAATCAAAACATCCCTTGCCACAACTTCCAGTTGTGATAACACAGAAACCAAAAATGTTTCCAAACCTAGCCAAGTCCTTGGAGGTACAAAATTGCCCCCATGTGAGAATACTGTAATACTGTAATGTAAGATTGTAAATATTTTCCCCCTTTGGTACATAAATATCAACATAATTTAAAATTTATCAAATCTTGTCAATAAATATGTATCCAAGTTTTCTGTTAAAAAAAAACATTTCTCCATATTTTAAGTATGCATCTTTTGGTCAAGAAGTTAAACTTTTGGGGATTCATCCAGTGAAAATCTCACATCAGTACAAAAAAGGTATCTGTGTGCTTCTGATGAGAGACTGGACTGCTCGAGTCTTTTTAGAAGGCTATTAAAATATACAAATTGCCTCACATGGAAATCCATCCTCTTGTATCGGCATCTAATGGACTATTTCATGCAGCACTGCTTGTAATATGAGCAACAACAGCAATAATAAAAAAATAACGACAATTTAAAAGTCTTGCATTAAGATAAAGTTTATAAATGCTACATCCACGCTGTGGAACACCAAAGCCAACAGAGGCGCCCACCAGACTCGCCCTGTGACTGGCAGCAAAGAGGAGAGTTTTCAGCGTCTTGTTCAGGGAGCTAGAGGCAAGGGTGGAGCCAGAGATGTAAACAAAGTGAAAGGACCAAGGAGGAGACTTCGTCGGCTTCAGCACTCACACGTGGCCTGATAAGTTTAAGGCTGATCTCTCACCAGAGCAGCTAGTGGATTCAAATCACTGACCTTTTCATCAACAGTCGAACCCTTAACCATTGGGCTCTGTATGAAATCTGGGGTTCAAATCCACCAGATGCTCTACTGAAGAAGGAGGAACAATCGCCTCCTGTTCCAGTCAGATCCAATTTGACAGTACACACATAAAAATAATAAAAATAAATAAAGTATGAACTCTTTTTCTAGGGTTTAGAGTAAATGGTCACCTAAAGGCCATCCATTACAGGTATGCTTGGTGCAAACACGGAGAAGTGGCAGCTGTTCAGTTTAAGGTACAGCAGGGCTGTCCTACCTGCTTCTAAGGTGTCTGGTTCATCCGGCCTCTGGGCAATCTGCAGGTAGTAAAGCAGGGAGCCGTACAGGTGAGTCCTCACACGCTGGAACCCACCACCTGGACAGGCAGAGTAAGGGAAAGCCGTCTTCATTAACACAAATACACACACAGACAAATGCAATCTATGGACGAGGTAAAGGAAAAAACAAACCTGTCTTTAAAATGAAGTCCAAGAGTTTCTTGAGTATGATGTGAAGTGAAGAATCCCCGATGGAAGCAAAGCCCACCGTGGAGCTCTCTGCAAAAGACGGTGCGCCCAGAGGCCCATCCGGCATGAAAGCACTGGGGAATCTGGAGGGTCCCAGCACCAGCGGCTGCCTCTGCTCTGTGCGCACGGCCTGGCTCAGGTGTGCCGTCAGGGTGAACACAGCACCTGCCACCACGGGCATCACCTCCTGGGCGGCTTCATCATCCAGTATCTTCATGCAGAGAGGAAGCGCAGGTTAGAAGGCTGCTGTCAGCTCCAGGCATTAACAAGTTCCACATGCACTTAGGTTTCAACTACACTAAGAACATGAAAGTGGGCCTGTACCACTCAAGTAAAAATACATGTAAAGATATGACAATATGATGCCAGGGGATGTGTTAACCAGAGGGAATGCCAAGGTCTCTGGAAATGAATTTACATGGCCCACCACAGAGATGTCCATTCAGATTAGGGACAAGCTCTGTCCACGTGCACGTTCAAAAACCTCCCGAGATTATTCCAACTCTCTCTCTCTGTGTGTGTGTGTGTGTGTGTGTGTGTGTGTGTGTGTGTGTGTGTGTTGATAGAATCGTGTGTGCTCACCCCTTGCTCAGTCTTTTCTGATTTCCACATAAATTGTGGAGTGGCACTGGGTACGTCTCCATAGGGGTCAGGATTCTCTCACCCTGCGCTCCCTGTGCTCCCCAAACTCACTGTCAGCAAGTGAGTTCTCAGTGAGAGCCCTTCCCTCGGGCAGGTGAGGCTGTCACTTCCAGCAGGGGAGAGCCCATCTCTCTCTCAGAGCTGTTGCTGGAGTCAAGCCCCCAGAGGCACGCAGCCTCGGGGTCATCAGCACCGCCCTGTGGGCTCCAATTCCAGGGCCCCACTCTCCCTGCCCCCGCATCATCTGTCTCTTGACTTTAAAGTCACCACTGACCTTGGATTTCACACATACACCTTTAAACAGAGCTCTGAACTCATGGATAATAGTCTTTGTGTGTCAATCTATCATTTCACTAAAAGGTGACCTCAGGGATGGTTCATGGTTAACAGTCTTGGGGAGTCACTCTGCTCTGGGCTTCCCTATTCTATTGGGGTCCATCTTTGGTACCCCGATCAGAACGCTCAGCAGTGTTAGTGGGGCACATCGAGTCCTTGCAAACTCCTCCTTCACTCCTAACAGAAAACCTTAAACACGAGGGTGGCAGCGCCCTGTCTCTGCTCAGCAGGCATCTGCCGGGCAGCGTGAGACGAGGCAGCAGGTACGTCACCTTGTCATGCAAGTCCTGAAGGATGTCTCGGATGATCAGCTGCCGGTCCTCTGTCTGGATGAGGTCCTGGGGACAGGCGGTCAGGATGATCTCCACCAGCTGCCGCCACGACTCGAGCACGTGCCACTTGGCATGCAGACACTGCAGCAGCTTGTTGCGTTCCACCACGTACTGGAGGATGGTGCTGATCTCCTGCAGGGAGCGGGCGCGGGGTCACACACACAAGCCGTGACTCCCCGGGAGCCCCAGGTGCCGAGCTCTAGAACTCAGAAACCTCTAACCACGGCCAGAGAACCTGTCACCGCCTGCCAGGCAGCACCTGGTGTCACGCCATCTCAACGGCCAGCCTTTCCCGCCGAGCTGATGCCAACTCAAACTGGTCACGTGGGACCGAGCAGACCTGGCCCAGAGGGTTTCTCAAGGCAGTGGGTTTATGGTAACAGGCTGCCTCAACCCCTCCAGAGGAGCAGTGGGTGAGCTCCAGCCACCAACCTTCTGATTACCAGCTCACACACTTAACCACTGTGCCGGGGCCCTTAGCACGTCCACAGCTATGGCAAATAAGACACTAAGCATCGGCTCGCTCAGCTCACTGCTGGGAGTCAGAACAGACTCACAGTTGACCCTCCAGCAGGTTTTCAGAGGCTGTAAATGACATGCAGGAGACTGTGCAGCCTTCTCTCTCAGGTGCTGCTGGGTTTGAACAGCCAGAGGCGCATCACGTTTGGGTCGGGAGGGCCAACTCCCTACGAACTACACCACCCATTTAAACGCACGCGCGCGCGCACACACGTTTACATTCACGGGCATGTGGGCATGCCTGCATGCCCCTCTGTCTTTAAGGCAGGCGGTGGAGGTGGGGTGGGTAGAGGCAGCTGTTCACTGTCTTGCCCTTTACGACAGTCTGCTTCCCCTGAGCGCGGGAACTGTCGAAGACTGTTGAGAGGTGCAGACTGACATGCGTTACCCCACCCCCTGTGCTCTCCACCACTCGGGAGCACAAGCGCCCTTCCCCGTTAGACAGCACACGAGCACAAATCTTAAACGCAAACCCTCTACTAGCCTCGCTGTAAAGACAGGATCTATTTCGACAAACCAGACAACTTCAGTTTCTAGAAACTGTGGTGATGGCTGGTTAACAGACGGCCTCGTCTCTGAGGCGGCCCCTGCAGGGGTGTGAGCAGCGGCAGGTCGGGACAGCACAAGCTGAGCAGGGCTTACCTCCATCAGCAGAGGCCTCTGTCCAATGGCCGCCATTCCCTGGAGGGCATTCACTTCGGCCACAAGGACCCGGTGAAGCAGCTAGAGAGTCAGGGGAAAAAACAGAGCAGGTCCGTGAGACACCAGCAGCACAGCAGCATGGAGCACGAGGGTAGAAAATGCCTTAGAAGGAAAATTTCCCACGTTCCTATTCCATGTCCAGTGCACTGTCACACTCCCTTATGTCCAGACCTCCGAGTAAAGTTACTGCAAAGGCCCTGGAGGTCTTGTCCCTGCTGGTGAAGCCACTGCATTTACTTGCTACTGGTGAGGTACATAGTTAAACTGTTCAAATCCCTCCAAAGCTCTAGCTGGGTGGGATGACTACTAAGCTGAGGTCCTGGGCACTTCCCAAGGACGCAAAGCAAGTGCAGTCGAGTCAGTCTTTCATTTTCCTGGCTCTGTGAAACTGAAAACTGCAGTCCTGTGTCCAATAAGGCAGAAGCCAGTGTCTCTGAAACAAGTGCACGGTTCCACTTTCTCCCTGGGGACACCAAGTCAGCAGCCCCAGCGTGTGACGCTGCAGACACACTCCTCACCTTCACGTTGCAGACGGTCTGTCCCCGCAAGTTCTTATGTTCACAGTTGGCGATCACTTGTTCGATCTGGGCCCGGTCAAAGAAATCCAGCTGCAAAGGCTCAGGGATCTCCTGACTGAAGTCGATGGAGTCGAGAATACTCAGAATTTTCCGGCGGACTGGAAGGCAAGGCAAAGCGTTCAACCAGAGGCGGTGAGGAAGAGAGGACAGCACCCCGACCAACTTCCCTCCCCTCGGGGACAGGGACACGCTGCAGGAAGTGAAGACAGGGCTGACACTGATTTCATTTCTACCTGCAGGTCGGCAAATAAGTCAGAGCATGCACACACACACCTACAGGCATAGGAGAGCTGGTTTGGAGGGGCACCAAGAGACTGGTCAGGACCAAGTCTGCAGCATGCGAGAGCCTCCTTCGGGTCCCAGAGCTGCCACAGCCCCCTGCCCCGACGCCCTACAGGTCAGTGACTGAGGGGTGATGCTGAGCTACAGTCGGCCAACCGTCCCTCAGGGGTTCTGATTCCGACCGAGCTCAGACAGTGCTGGACACCTCCACGCGCAAACCCCCAGCTCTGGGAAGTGCTGGTTAGCAGCAGCAGCGTGCACGGGGTTACGCTGACATCTGCGTTCAACATATACAAACACACACACTGCACAGATAAACGCTGTGATTTAGTGGGTAAGAAGCTGTGTTGCAATCAAAAAGGCACACGGTTCAAATCCACTAGCTTCTCTGCAGGACCTGGATGGGCAAAATCCTCCCATGTGATTTACTGCCTCTCAAAAAGCGGCAGAGGCTCAGCTATGAGTCAGTTCCAACTTCACGGCACACGACAACATATACTACACATGAGGGCGAACATTTTTTCCATTCTCTTGCTCTTGTTAGAGAACTCTGGTGACTTAGTGTTAAGGAGTGGTGCTGCCAATCCAAAAGGCACAAGGTTCGAATCCACCAGCTGCTCCAAGGGAAAAAAGATGAGCAAATTCCTCCCATGTGATCGACTGCCTCAGAAAACCCGCGGGAGGGTCAGCTACGGGTCGGTTCCAAGCCGACAGTACAGGACAAACTAAGCATCAATGACGGGAAGGACAATCCTTCACAAAGCTTTTCTGTGTTGTGTGGTTGTTGTTACTGACTGCCGCTGAGTTCAGCATGAATCATAGCAACACTAGGAACGAAAGACCTGACTCCTTTAACTAGTGTTTCTCTAAGTTCATGGAGTTTCCAGAGGCACGCTGTTTAGGAAGTGGCTGCCAATCCTGCCTCCAGCTTTTCTAAACCAGATCAGAATTTGGAGATGCAGGCACCGTAACTACCACAAAGTGTCAAAGACTATTTAACGTGTATTTCTATAAAGTCAAGGAGCCGGGTGGCGTGGCTGGAAATGCATCATTTTAGCAGAGAGGTCAGCGCCTGGACACTCGAGCAGTTCCGCTGGAGGAAGACGGAGCGCTGCCTCATATCGAACGAAGCGGTCCTGCCGCACTGGGATAGAGTCCACTACACCGAGGGGCTACCACAAGGTCAAGGGCCCTTTACCTTTCGTAGCGGTGTCAAAGTGAAGGAAGCCAGAGACAGACCAATTTTCATCTTCCATTCCTCCTTCACCATCTGTTGGAGCACCAGAAACAATCGATCAAAAAAAGACAACCATTTTCTTCAAGCCACACTGATTTGGAAATGACAAACAAGACATTTCCTTTCTAGGTCAATGTTTCTAGGTCAAAGAGCCCTTCACAAATGGATAATTAAAATGCAAAGGCTGATGAGGACTTTCTACCAACATGGATCTAATTCCTCCTGTCCCTACGGAATCCACAATTGTAAAGAGGATAATCAGAACTCTAAAGGAGACGAGGCCCAATCATGCCGACGAGATGATTTAAAAAGCCGGCGCATAATTTGCATGTGTGATTCATCCTGAAAGCGCCTGGGTTGTGATGGCTCAGGGTGACACACCCCACTGAACATTCTGTGTCTGTCGCACAATGTGGATGCATAAAGCAATTCATTAAATGACAAGCATGAGATGCTATTAAATTTTTGTACTTTAGGGGGAGAAATCTCTAAAGATGGAAAGAACTGCTTTGGTCCACGATCTTGTCTAAGCACAAGATGCAGAATTCTGCTCGCGGTGACATGGACCAACAGCTGCACGAGAAAGCAAACCCCGAGAGGCGCACACCCACCTGAGTAGGGCTTCACGGGCATGTCGTCCAGCAGTAAGTGCAGGAGTCTCTGGGTGTGCGACCGCTGGCGGTTCAGTGACGTCACCCGCAGCTCAATGGAGGCTGTCTTCATGAGCCAAGACATTTGGTTCAGCCGAGATATTTCATGTGCTGAAAGTCAAGTGCTGAAGTTCAGTTCTCCTCAGTTACAACACAAAATCAGAACAGAGCTAAAGTTCCACAGCTAATCAGATATTTTTCCACTTAACTCAATCGGTGTGATACTTTTATAAAACACAGGAGTTTATTATAATAAAGTTAACAAAAGGAGGGGAGATATTAAGGCAGAAGAATAAGTCTATGAAAAAAACAATAATAAAAAAGAGAATCACGCTTTCATTACCAGGATAACACCACATGGATGCACAGATCTGCAAAGGTTGCTGAATTCTAGCACAAATTCAGAATTTGATACTTTGAGAAAAGTGAGCAATTTTCAAATATATCAGCTTGTAGAAAATTCATCAGAGATTTTCATTTCACAAAACTAAACCATTAAGAGAAATGAAACAGACTTAGAATGGATAACTTATCTATGCATTAGACAAAGGGATTTGGTTTAACATATAGTCGTTGTTAGATGCTGTTGAATTGATCATGACTCATGGCAACCCTCTGAACAACAGAAATAAATGCACCCTGCTCTATCCTATGCATGTAACACACAAGGTTGTTGTGGATTGCCGTCGAGTCGAGCACAACTCATAGTGACCCTGTGAACAAAAGGCCTGAAGCCCCTCTACAACTACCGACACTTATCGAAGTGCATAGTTTCCAGAGGCATGTTATTTAGGAAGTGACTGCTACCTTGCTTCCAAAACATACAATGAGGACTCAGAATTCACTGACATTATCAGGATTTTTTTTTTTCATTTTCTCCTACAGTTTAGAATTCTGTGAATTCAATATTATTCTAATATACCTGGCTTTCAAAGCCCTAAGCTGTGTCTCCTGCTGTTCTGTGCCATCGAGTCAGAACCAACTCACAGCTGAGCCTCCAGCTGGCTATGAGAGGCTACGATGGCCTGAGGGGAGGCGGCTCATCTTGGATTTCAATGCCTTGCCTTTGGGTTGACAGTGTAATTCCTTACCACTAGACCCCCAACTGTGACAGGAGAAATAGGAAATACACCAGATAACGTTAATGTCAAGATGACAGCGGTAACAAACTACTATTAATCCACAAAGTGTGACTGTTCATTAGGAATTGGGGGTCGTAGCAGATGAGGTATTAATTTTTCTTTTAAATTAGTCAAGTATCAAAAGTATCATTTATAAAACTTCATTTATAAACGGATTCTTCATATATATATACACATACACACAGAGCTTCATATATAAAAATATATTCAAAACCTCAGCACTTAAAATAAAGCGCACATTATGAAAGTGAAGGGAAACCTTTCTGCCATTAGGTGATCTTCAAAGGTCTCACATCAGCACACTAAAAATTTACTTGGAAGCCAACAGTTCCTGGCAATGAGAATTTACTCTGAAGTCTATGAACCTAAAAAGCATAACAGGTCACCACTCTCTGGTTATAATCTGAATTTTAAAATGGTTAAAAAAATCAATCAAAAGAAAAAATACAAAGCAGAATCCTGATAAAGTAATAATAGCATTAGCCATGTCAATGAACTAAGTTATAAAAGATCCACACCGTAATTGTTATTAGATGCTACTGAGTTGAGCATGACTCATGAAGCACCTATAAACCACAGATCTGAACTCCGCCCTGTGTCGCGCCATCTTCATCTCCTCTGACATACTTGAGCCCATTGCTGCAGTCACTGCGTCAATCCACCTCACTGAGGGTTTTCCTCTTGTACACTGATCCTCCACACTCCCAGCATCATGGTCCTCTCCAAGAAAAAGCCTCCCCTAACAACATGCCCAAAGTGTGTGAAATGAAGCTTTGCCACCTTTGCCGGTAAGAAGCACCCTGGCTATGCTTTCCCCAGTTCTTTGGCAGTTCGTGGGATGTTTGGGAACTCATCTTCAGCACCACAACTCAAAAGCATTGCTTCTTCTTCTGTCATCCTTAGTCATTATCCAGCTCTCAAGGGTCATAGCAAGTGACTGAAAAGACCCAGGCCTGAATCAGACAAATGCGGTCCTCAAAATGATACCACTGTTCCTCAGTACTTTGGAAAGGTTCCTGACAGCAGACATGCCCAATGCAATATGTCTCCTGATCTCCTGACTGCCAGTAACAAGAGTGTTGATTATGGATCCAAATAAGATGAAATCATCGACAACTTCAATCCTTTCTTCATCCATCGTAATGTTGTCTAGTAGCCCAGTGGTGAAGATTTTTGTCTTCTTGAGGCTGAGATGTAATCTAGAACTAATTTCCCAATTTTCACTTCAAAGCCTGGCTTGTCTTTAGTGAGTACACAGGAAACAAAACAGACTTTTTATGGAAGATTTTTCATTTGGAAGTCTGTATTTTATCTATTTTCTTGTCTCTTCAACCCAATCTTGAAACCGTATGTGCTGGCAAGAGAAACAAACTGCACCCTTGACGGGCTGAGTGTGAGAAATCTCAGGCTGGCAGTGAAGATTTGAGGTTTCTTGAGCACAAACCAAAGGGTCACCCTCGCTGACAAAGCAACATAAATGAGGCTGGGATTCCACAAATTCTACAGCTGCTCTCCAGACATTGTATCAGTCCCACAGCTCAACACGGGACCTATGGACTAGTTACAAACACAAAGGAAGAGAACGTCCTACCTTGGTTAGGGAAAGGCAGGTGCTGCAGCTGTGAAAACAAGAAATCCTGGCTGGTCCTCAGGTAGCGCATGGTGGGGCCAGACGTGTCGGAGCATGCACACAACTGGTAGATCACCTGAACGAGGCAACGAGACAACACGCAAATCAGGCTTGTATCGTAAGACAGCAAAATAGGAAAAACAACGTATTCAAATTTTGTAAACAAACTAGTATAATAGAAAAAAGGAAAAAATATGAACCAAGACCTCCTAAACTAAGGTCCATCAACAACTCAAGAGAAATTAATAATAAGAGCAGAACTGAACTAGTCCCTGGCGCCTCCGCTCAAGAGAATGTGTTGGAAGATAACTTGAGAGTCCTCGCGGCAATGTTACAGGACTAACCTTGAAATCACTCATTAGACATACATATACATTCATTTATAGGCTCAGGTGTTTTAACTGCAGCATATTGTTTGGAATTAACTTCTAAGAAGCACAGTTATTATGCCTTAACTTCAGGACCATGATAACTTTTCTAGAATTGAAGAAATTACATAAAGAAAGCCCAGATTCAATTATCTAAAAATAAAAACCTAAACAACAAATAAGACTTTTAAGAAAATAAGATTTGAGGGAGAAAATGTTTTAAATCAAACATAACAAAAAATAAGCAGTAAAAACTTATACAAATATTTGTTACAAATGGGAATATAATTCCTACAGAAAAAAATGGAAAAAAATATTTCCTATAAGAAAACATTAAAAAAACCCATAATCAAAGAAAACTCTTCATCTTGTCCAGTAATAAAATTAAGGCAAGTATAAGGCATAATTTTACATCACATAAACCAGAAAAATTTCAAACTGTTTTGGACAAAGATGTAATGAAAACTCACTCACAAGTGATCCCTAAGTATTCTGTGTCTGTGCATTCTATACTCGACCATTGTTGGTTTCATTAATTGGTAATGGAGCTGCAACAGCTATTCACCAATTCAAACCTAAAGTCATAAAACTTGGTCCTCTAACTGAGTAATCCCATGCCTGAAAGACATTCTTTAAAAATACATAAAACTAGGATGTTCACTAGAGCAGTGCAGAAAACTGGGAAGCTAAATGTAACTGACACTGAAGAACACTGAACATTAATCCAGAGAGGAGCGGGAAGCAGAGTACAACTAAAAAGAACAGGCACCTTGGGGGCAAGCCAAGAAGGACCAAAAGTTAAACACAGAAGGATTCTGTTGCAACAGAAATGATTCTATTGCACTACAGGCTCATCTTTTCCAGAAACTCTACAAACAAGTAAAAATGCAACACTGTAATACTAAAGGCCTCAAAAGAACAACCACTTAAATATTAGAGGTCAAGTTAAGAAAAAAGGACAAAATGAATGAATGGAAATCCAAAATCTCTGTAAATGCTCACTAAAATTATTTTAAATAAAAAAGAAAAGAAAAAAGGGACAAGATGCTCAGGGAGGTATGAGAGGTGATACTGCCGAAGGGGGAAGGGCCTGGGCAGCTGGTGGAGGAGGTGCGAGCAGCCGTGTTATTAAGGGGTGTCTCGCAGGGTCTCTGGCCCGTGGGCAGTCAGGGGAATACTCCATCCTTAACAAGAAGGGAGTAAAGGCAAAAGGCTCAGTATCAGCATCTTACTCCAGCAACCAGGTACTGCAGGATGGTAATGATACAAAAAAGGTCCAAATCCTTACAATCACGTTTATTTAAACTAACAAGCTTCTCCTGGTGGCTTGGGCTCGTCCAGCCACAGGATGGTGTATATGGTGCCCATTAAGCAGAGTTTGGTGCTACAGTGCAGCAGGTCATCCTGAAGATACCAATCACTGGGCCATGGCTGAGTAATCTTTCCAGGGTGGGAGACAGATGGGCAGTCTCCTCCTGTGCTGTTTACAGTCTCCGAAACCTCACCAGAGGGTCAGCTATGAGTCAGTTCCGACTCAGTGACACACAACAACGACAATCTTTACATGAGCAGACTGTTAGGTCTTTTCACCCAAGTAGCTGCTAGGTGAGTTCGAGCAGGAGTACCAACAGGGCATGTGCTATGAACTGGCAGCCTTTTGATAGAGATATGTTATGTTTGGCCAGCACAGAACTTTAAAAATTGAAGAAGAAAAAAATTTATTTCCAACTCATTTTTAAAACAATCAAAAACAGAGGGCGTGGGCAAACAGAGGCCATGTCCTGGAAGCAGAAATGTTATCTGGGGCTGAGAGCTATTCTCCCAACCCCCCAGGGATTTAAACTCCCAGGGCTGCACGCCTCCCTGCACCACCCTAACACCTACAGTGGAGATGGTTAAGCCTACTGAACGCGTGTCCCTGAATCAAACTGTGGGGCATGAAGCTAAGAGCTGCATCAGGTCCGCTGCTCTGCTAGGAACGTGAGCCGAATCCACAGAGGGAGGGGCAGCTGGACCACCCGAGGACAGAGGAGGAAAAGGACAGCAGGGGACGAGTCCACTAGAGGGGAATGGGGCGCCGCCTAAGTAGAGAAATTCACCACGTGCTGGAGCACGCGGTCCTTAAACAAGACGCTCTCGTGTGAGCGCTCACGCTCCCAGGTGCTTTTACAGCTGTGAGACTTCCTGATCTACACGGCGCCTGAAGAGCCTTTCGCTTATTCAAGGCTCACAACAACCCACTTCACAGAGGACAGCAAGCCCGAGGCCACTCAGCGCGTGCAGGCTCAGAGAAGGGGTCCAAAGGCCTCTCCCCCAAAATCACTGCTGTCATCACCAAAAATCGACCGGAAACAGCACAAGCGGCAAGTTTCTATAGTGCCTGGTCAAAAAGGATTAGAAAACTGCACTTTGCTCGTTTTTCAAGTGATCACTGCATAGGACTTTTTCATATATCTTGGACTTGGTGCTTGGATTCTCCCATAAAAAAGACTAGTCAAACTACTAAATGAACTCTGTCCAGCTCAGTCCACACAGTCTCCTGCTCACCTGGTAACACAGCTCGGCAAGCTGCGGGGACTCCCTCACGACCACTGGACCAGTTCTCGCTTCGGTTCCCTTCTCCAGGATGTTTAAGATTGCATGAAGGCACGTCCGGGGGCAGCCTAGCACTCCTGCACATAATTGAAAGAAAATTTATCTATGTAAATTATTTATTATTATTAGAAATTATTTATCTAAATCTTCACAAAATTCTGCAAGCATAGCATCTTCTGTAAGCCTCACTTCAAATACTGACACGGCAAGTTGAGAATCACCACTGGTGTCCAGTTCATTCTGTAGAGTCTAGAGCTAAGTCCTCGTAAAGGCTGGCCACAACACCCCTATATATACATTATTTCTGTCTTTCAGTAAATTTTCTCATGAGCCCAGAATTTGGTAAACAACCATCATCACTGACAAATGCCCGAGTAATGAGAGGAGCTGGAATCCGACGCCTGAGAGGGAGTGGGAGCCGGCCATACCTGGGTCCTGCAGGTTTGTGGTGCTGACCGGTTTCTTTAACTCAAAGCCCAGCAGGTAGAGGGCCAGGTTGGGAGGATTGCGCTCCAGGGAAGTGATGAGAAGGTTCAAGATGTGGATCCTCGTTTCATGACGGATTATAGCTAATTTCTGGTCAACTTCAGATCCTTAATGGGGAAGTCATAAACAAATTACAAGACAAAAGTTAGTCTAACCAAATTTTAAGATTGAAAAGGTTTACTCCAAATTCTGAGTTGTCTGTTTCCATTTAACTGATTGTCCCCGGGGCAAAGTGTGATATATGTGTTCTAACCAACTGTCCATTTTCCCACATCGCCCCCAGAGAGCTCAGAGTGAGCCTCCTCCCCTCATATCAAGCAAGCACAAAGCAGCCGCAGTCGGCCAGGGCATACCCTCATCGAGGTGCACGAAATCCTCCGCGTCTTCACTATCTAAACACTCCACAAATCCAGCCATCAGCTTCTGACTGACACTCTGCAATCACAGAAATAGAAAATGACAATGCATGATGCTTTTAAACATCAGAGAAACGGTAATAATGAAAACGTATATACAGCAAAATACCACTGTTATAAAATAGGACTGACATGGGGGTTGGGGGGAGGACAGGAAGAGTGGATAGATAATGAACACTGCACTGGAACAGATGAGGGCAAAACGGCCTGAAAGGAATATATGATTAGGTATTAAATATATGACAACAATCTATACCAAGACGTGCATTGTGGGGGGGATAGGGGAGGGAGAGTGGAGGGGGAAGGAGAGGAGATGGAGGGGGAGGGGGAGGGGGTGAAGGGGGAGAGAAGAAGATAGGTAATAATGAATAAATAAAACACATACAAAATAAGAAAAAAATAATGACAATGTACATTTACAAACATTTCTCTCTAAAAAAGGAAAAGACCTCTGCTTCAAATAAAGTATTTAAGATTCTAGTTCCTTCTTTTTCCTTCATAGGAAACCAATTCCTTAAACTGCTGTAAGTGCTGTACAGAAATCACTGAATCCAACTTTTTTTTTTTTTTTTATGTGTGTACCGTCAAATTGGATCTGACTGGTACAGGAGGCGATTGTTCCTCCTCCTTCAGCAGAGCATCTGGTGGATTTGAACCGCGCACCTCTGGGTGAATCCAACTCTTAAACAAAACTATGAAGTGCTGCTTCAAAAGCTCCTTCATCTACTCATCCTTGTGAGCTCTGAAACCAGAGATCACAGCCTCAACTTCTTTCTCTCACAGAGTATTGCAAGTCTTCGGTTCTAGGCCTCGGGGCCAGTCTCTCCTCACAGTCATTGTGTGTGCAGTAGGATGGGGAAAAGGAAATGACAATCAGCTGGAAAACCTTCACCGTTCAATGATTTCTAGATTTCACCTCATTTCCCGAGCAACTGCACGAAGCTCATCCAAAAGTCATGGATTAAAGAGGATCACTGGCCGCATATTGGTTAATCACTTGGCTTTTAACTAAAAGTCATGGATTAAACATACATATATTTATATGTATAAATAGAGGTTCTCAACCAGGAAAGGACCAGCACTCCAGGAACACCTGGAAATATATGGGGGCCTTTGGCGTGGAGCTTTCTATGACAGACAGTAGGGAAGGGGACTGGGGCTATTAAGGGTCTATTTCTGTATGTGACGGACAATTACATACAAAATGAAGATCTGTCCCACCCAAATGCTACAAAAGTCTCAGTTTAAAACACTGTTAAAGAACAGCTAATAAAACCCTGTAACTAGCTAAGCAGTGGCTTCCAAAGTGAAGACACAATGAGAAAAACAATGAAGAATAAAGCCCACTGCCGTGGAGCTGATTCTGCTCACAGAGACTCTGCAGGGAAGAGCAGAAGAGCGGAGCAGCCAGTGAGCTGTCCAAGCCCACAAACCTCTGCGGAAGCAGACTGCCACCTCTTCCTGTGGACACCAGAGTGTTGGGTAGCAGCTGGGCACTTACACGCTGCACTACCAGAGCTCAACACAAAGACACAAAAGGAGAAATGTCTTTAATAAAGGACAAGGGAGCAGATTGCCTACAGCAGTATTAAAAGCTGGGGAAGGAGAAAACAGAAAACGCTCTATGGTTTAATATCAGATGTACAGACACAGATGTGAGCACCAGAAAAACACAGGAGCAGACAACTTAGGGCTGGGAAACGCTCAGAAGCAGAAGGCCCCTCGGACAGGCCATCCGTGGGGGGCAAAGGGAGCCAAGCATACAGAAGCCGCAGCTACGGTCCTCATCACACTGGGGTGCACAGCGCAGCACTTGTCATGCCATGACACACACATTATGCCTGACAACAACCACAATGCCGAGCACCAGTCACTTACCTGGTCATGCGTGAAGTCGCCAACCAGCTTCAGCTGAATGTTGGAGTTGCAGGAGATACAGCAGAGGATCTTGGCGCTTTCAAAAGCCAGCTCGGGGTTCGTGTTGCCGTGATACAGGTACCTTCGGAGCGAGAGAGCATTGCAAGCACAACGTGAGGAGCTTCTCACATCTGACCACTCTCAATAAAGACCTCTGAGAACCAGGTACCCCCACCTGCCCCGGTCCACACCAGGAGGACTTCAGGTAGATCAGAAGCTACTTCTGCTTCAGGGCCGTGTACCCAGAGCCCTGCAGACTGTGCCCCTGAGCCCTCCCGCAGGAGGCCTTGACCCAGCGGACAGACCAAACCACCAGACACAGAGCTCAAGTAATCAGTCGGTATCTCCCTTACCCTGAGGTTACAGACAAATAAACGTTCAATACAGAAAGATGTTCATTACAGAAAATGTGAACAAGTGCAAAAAGATGAAGAAAGTAAAGCACGTACTATAAGAGAGCCACTCCTCAATCCTTCATGTGAATACCATTGTAACCTAATGTTCTACATTTTTAATATTATTTTTATTATCTTACCAAATTACTAAAAACTCTTTAAAAGTAAGAAGTTGCACTGAATATATATTTCCTCATTTTCTTAATCATTTTCTACTGAACCATTAGATTGATTTAAATTTTTAAAAATTTTATTTCAATTCCAATTACTATTATAAACAAAGGTCAAATGAATCCGTTGTTTAGGCTAAATGCAAGCTCACGTCAGCCCTATATGACAGGGTGAATTGCCCCATGGGGTTTCCAAGCCCAGAATACTTCCAGATAGTAGAATGCCAGGTGTTTCAACAGCAGCTGGCAGGTTCGAACTACAGACCCTTTGCACTTAGCCACCAAACCCACAAAGGTTCCTTTGAACATTATCAATCTAATCTAAAAATTATTGGGACAAAAATAAAGTCAAATTATAAGCCAAATCTGTTATCAAGCAACCTGAGGAAATCTCCAAGTCTTTACTACTAAACATATACATTTGCTCTCAATCTACCAATACATATGACAACTGAACAACCGTACTAATCAAACTGTGGCTTTTTCGGGGGGAAAAGATTATGACAGGTTGTATTTATCCATTTCGTATCCACCTTTTTCATTTTCTTTTTATATATATATGAGTATATTTCCGTGATATAAAATTCAAAAGCATTAAAGGATGTGTGGAGTGATAACTTTACTCCTCACCTATCACCTACAATATCCAATTTCCCTGCAGGAGATAGACAAGATTACCGGTATGTTAAAACATACAATAAACAGGAAAGAGAAAAGAAATGGTAAGGTTTCACAGTCATTAAAGTCAGAGGGGCTGGACCAGGTTAAGAAGGAGGTTCCTTCTCCCCTCTAAAAGCCAGCAGCAGGCAGGCCCACCTAAGGGATGGTACCAGGTCTGGAAATGAAAACTAGAATACTGATCTGAGCATTTCCACAATTCTCCTGACAGGTGGAGCTTACCGGGCAATGTTCACCACATTGTCTGCTTTCTTGGTCCTGGGATTGATCCCCTGTAGCAGCTGCTCCAAAGGAGACACGATCAGGGCCAGCTGGCTCTCTCTCAGAAAGTCCATGAAGAGATTCTCCTTTTGCAGCGTGAGATTGAGAAGTGCCAGGCAATGCTGGACTGCTTTCTCCAAATGTTTCTTCCCTACAATGAAAATGGAGTAAGTAGAGACGTGTAGTCAGGTCTCAGGAAAAAAAGGTTAAAAACAATTTCTAGATGCAAAAAGCACTCTTGGTTTCTCAACTTTCAGCAACAACTTCAAGTTTACTTTGGGACACAGGTTACTTTCAGGAGATGGACTCTCAAGTCATTTCTCCTTTCTTTGTTCCTTGATTCCATAAAGCGTTTGTCCTCAACCAGGGGCTGCCATGTCCCCAGCGGCCCACTGGCTAAGTGTGGAGATACTGTGATATCACAGCTGGCAAACTGCTGTGGGCATCTAGTGGGTCGAGGCCCACAATGCACAGGCCAGCAGGCATGACAAATGATATTCAGCCCAGAATGCCAATGGTGCCAAGGACGAGAAGCACTTGGAGCAGCACATACTCATCGTGGAAAATGCAGAAAGTTAATAGACTGTGTAAACATAAATCATCTACAATCCCATCCATCATTCAGATTCAAACTTTTAGCACATTTCTTGCCCAGTTCTTAATTGTTTACATTTTTTTTTTCAACTTTAGATTACTGTTTTATTAAATGTGGTACTATGTAGCTAATTGTTTACATTTTAAGATAACACAATTATAACCCACAGGTACATGATCTGTCTTTTCTCACTTGAAGTGCAGCTACTTTAAGAAAGGCTAGGGAGGATAGAAGGAGAATTGATGCCTTTGAGCTGTGGTGCTGGAGAAGAGTATTGAATGTACCATGGGCTGTCAAGAAAACAAACAGATTCATCCTAGAGAGGGCTAAACCAGGCTACTCCTTGGAGGCAAGGATTCTGGGGCTTCGCCTGACATACTTTGGAAATGTTGTAAGGAGAGACAGGTCTTTAGAGAGAGACATTATGCTTGGGAGGGTGGAGGGACAGCGCAGGAGGGGAAGACCCTCTATGAGGTGGATTGATTCAGTGACTGGGGTAATTGGGATAGGTGTATCAGATACAGTGTGACTGGCACAGGATAGGGCAGGGTTTAGGGCTGTTGTACACAGAGTCGCTATGAGTCGCAAGTGACTCGATGGCACGTAACAACAACAACCTTAAGAAGAGGCAACATAGCACAGTGGTAAAAAGCCTGGACTCTCGAGGCCAGCCCAGCTGTTTCAGTTTCAACCACAGCTCTGATACCTTCTGGGAAAAAATCTGTAAGTGCTTTGCATCAGCTGCCTGACCTAGGAAGTGGAAAAAGTAGACCTACTAGTTAGGGCTTTTGTGTGGTTAACACATGCAACTTGTACCTGCAAAGAGCCTGAGACATAGTAACCATACTAAATACAACTTATTGAATTCTTACTATGTCTCAGGTATGACAGTGAGAGCTTTTACAAATATTTCCAGGTGGTGGAGGGGACAAAAAAGCAAAAGACCCCACAATGTGCCCCCAGCCATTCCATCCGCAGCTGCTGGTTGAGGGCCATCTACAAACCTAAGGCAAGAAGATGGGAACTGTGAAAAAGGATGGGAAAAGCCTCTGAACTGGATCAGCTGTAGGCTCCGACTTGTTATACAAAGCGGGAAATTCATGCTGGGGTATAAGTAGATGCTTAAAGATGATCAGCCAAAGAAAAGCCAAGTCCGTCCTCCTCGCCAACAACGCAGCCTTGAGGAAAGCTGAGCTCAGACTACACAGTGTCAGCCAAAACTAGTGTCCACCACCACAGAGAAAATAGTGACTTGGGCGCAGCGTGTGGAAAACACTAGAGTATACACGTGATTATCACTGATCCTGGTGATTCCGGAATTGTCACAGGCATGCCGGAACCAACTGGTGAAGAAGAAATCACGTAATGTTTCCTCTTCCATAAAACTGGCCAGAGATTGGTGGGGTTTTTTTTGTTTTTTTGGGGTTTTTTTTTAAATGTACAGTTGGGCACATTAATGTGGCAGAGAATTCTGATTATGCAGGAAAGATGCAGTGAGACCACGGCAGCAAGTCTCCATGTACAGCCTCCACGACTTGCATCTCTCTCTCTTAAGGCACCACTGACCTCCCCGCTGGAGACACCGACGGCATCTACTTCAAACCCTTGGTTTACAAAGGATGAAACTGCCCAGACTCTCCAGTAGAGAAGAGACACTCGGCACCTACCAGGAAAGGGGGCGTAGGTGTCCAGCTGCTTCACGCCTTCCTCCAGTAAACTCAGCATCAGCTCCAGCATTGGGGACTCGTTCAGAAGATGATACATCAGACTAAAGCCAGGGGGCTTGTAGGCAATGATTTCTTCCCCTAAACAAAACACAGCACAGGCAGGGCGTGGTGAATTCATGGCTTTGCTACACTCTTGATTTACGAGAAACATATGAGACTGTGCAATGGCATCTGAACAGACCAAGCTAAATTTCACTGAGACACCATTTGTATACAGTGGCTACAGGGCCGAGTGAAATTGTGAAATTGTTAAAGGGTCCCGAAGGCAGTGACCGTGGTCTTTCATTCAGTAGCATTTCATTTGACTTTCCATATAAAGAAATAAAACAATACCAGAAAAGCATGGCATGCTAACCTGACACTTTAAAAACAGGTAACCTGTTGTTGGGCAAGGACAGAATGAAATTACCTTGCAGTTCCACAAACTGGTCTACAAAGTCTTCCAGCTGAGGCTCATAGTCTCGGAGCAGTTTGTAGAACACCTCCAACACCACCTCGGCCACTTCCCACTGGAGAGAGACACACACACAGTTAAGAGTCAGGCATCCGAGCCTGCCAGGCTCGACCCTCCCATTCCCCCTCCAGAAAAGAAGGGAAGCCTCCCATGTACTTAAGTCATCTAAGCAAAACCATTTCTTTAGCTTTATTTTGGCTAATTTTTCGAGGTAAGGTGTTTAAAAAGCACCACTCTTCAGCACCTCGAGAGCAGTACCTGGGGTTCAGAAACAAATCGGAAGCACTTAGTGTATTTCAACATGACAAACAACACAGAAACCAAGGAACGGGACAGTTCTCTAAGAACCTGACTAGAAAGGCAGAGACCTCCTAAGGGAAGTGAAAGAACGGCCCTAACTTCATAGGTACGTAATGCTCAGCTGCCAAGGGGCCAGAAGTCAAGCTCAGGCCTTGTAATTGCTAGAGCAGCGCTCAGCTGTGGTTCAAACGCAAGATGTGAAGCGACAGAGCCAACTGCAGATGTGCCCCAAGTGACCGCTTTCCCAACTGTTCATTATAGAGGTCTTTAACATAAATCTATGTAACAATTAAAAACATTAAATTCAAGCCAAAGTGGGGAAAAAACCACACATATACATTTATTGTTGTTTATGCCGTCAAGTTGCCTGCGACTCATAGCGACCCACTGTACAAGGAGCTCTGAAGCCTGCCCTGTTCTGAACCAGTCTCACTGACTGACGCACCGACTCCCACCATCCCAGTTACGGTATCAAGCCATTCCATCTGGGGTGCTCCTCTCCTCCATCCTTCCAAGCATGTCCTTCTCCAAAGACTGGTCCCTCCTGGCCATGTGCCCAAAGTATGTGAGCCGGAGCTTCAAAATCCTAGCCTCCAAGGAGAGACGTGGTTTCACCCTCTCCAAGACAGACCTATTAGTTTCCTTGGCGGTCCATGCTATGTTCAAGACTCTTCCCCAGAACCACAATTCAAAGGCATCGATTCTTCTTCTATCCTCCTTAGTCATTATACAGCTCTGGGGCACAGCAAGTAATTGCGAAGACCATGGACTGGATCAGACGCACCTTAGTCTCTAGACTGACATCGTTACCTCTCAGCACTCTGGAAAGGTCCCTGACAGCAGATTTACCTAATGCAGTTCACTTTTGATTTCCTGACTGCTGGTGCCAAGATTGTGGAGCCAAGCAAGCTGTAACTGTCAACAACCACAATCTCCCCTCCATCCATCATGATGCTGCCAACTGGCCCATTTGTATGTACAGTAAAATTAAAACCTTGTTTAAACTCATTGCATAGATTTTTAAATTAGGAATGGTTGGGTAATTTTTTAGAAAATCCTTATTTTCACTGCACATAATTATCAAAATTAAGTGTGGAAACTGAGATTAGTGAGTGAGTTTTTCATATAATTATTACTTTTAAATAACTAGCCTTTTTCATATTGTCTGTCTAGGAAATGTATTTCTCTAAACAGAAAAGACTTATCACTGTAAACTGATGACACTGGATCTAATAAATATGTGCACTGCCTCTACCACAAGGCTCCTTTGTCTAGCTCAGCCCCAGGGCGCCACTGTGCTGAGGAGCTAACACCCTCCCAGGCCAGCCAGGCCTCAAGACGACTTTCAACAGCGAAAAAAATCGACAACATCAAGGGGCCAACGTTTAGGATCAGCATGTCAGAGTGAAATGGCAATCAGGGGTGACCTAGGACAACAGCACTGGCAGCGTGCAGTTACACACGGTGAGAGGCAGCGAGCCCTGCAAGGACATGCGTGGGTTAAGCTTCAAACACTCAGGTCATAATGACCTTTTAAAGAAGGCAAAGACGATGAGTAAGACAAGTGCCAGAAAGGCACCAAGGAAAACCCCAGCGGAACATTTTGTCGAGGTAACCAAGCTCCTTGAGAGCCGTGAGTCATCTGGAATTCAGCCACAAGGCCTAGTGGCTATTGTTGCTCTCGCCCAACCAGAAAATATATGATAGTGAGTAATGCCCACACGTTAACACCACGTATGCCCCTCCCCGTGTTTAGACAATGTATGCTGGTGAGTAGTGCCCACACTTTAACACCACGTATGCCTCCCCTGTGTTCAGCTCAACAACGCAAGCAGCAGAAATTTTAAAGCACTTGTCAAAGACTAGATTTCAGTTATTTGTGATGCATATTAGAAGCAAACAATGTGCAGAATCGTGATGCTGTCTGTTGATGCTGACTGCCGTCTAGTCGAGCACGACTCCTAGTGACTAAGAACAAAAGACTCGATGCCTTGCTATAACTATCATTGTTTCTCCAAGTTTAAAAAGTTTCCATAGGCATGTGCTGTAGGAAGTGGATGCCACTCCTGCTTCCTAACCTGACCTGTGCTGGGAGCTCCACCAAGCACTGTCCACCTTGGCCAATGGCTCTATATGTGCCAACAGTGACATGAAAAAGCACATGAGGGTGGATATAAGTAATGGGTGGATATGGCCACTGAGACCACACACTACAAACATTTTTAAAGAATGTTAAAAAAACTCATCTCATGAGTTAGTTTTTGGCAACAGCATTATGGGTAATATCATTTAAGTTTTCTCTATTAACTGACCCAAATCTGCATAAATTAAATTACATTTAAAATCATTAATACAGAAACAAAAAACCAAAACATTCAGAAAAGAATAAACTAGAAAGATAAAATAGAAATTTCCCTATAAGATACATCCACAGGTATTCTGGGACACAGTAACAGTGTTAGAAACTAAAGTGAATTGTTAGAACCTGAAAGGTCTCTTACATAGCTTAACAGTTAGGAGCTTGGATCTGGAATCAGAGTCCTAGGTTCAAATCATGGTCCTGGACCTTAGACAAGTTCCTTAACTTTGCTACGCTTCCATCCGTGAAATGGGACCATTGATAGTACCCGCCTCACAGTAACACTAGCATTACATAGGATGGTATCTACGATGAGCTCAGGGTAGTGACTTTGGCCTGACCCATGTGTGCCTGCGGGTCAGTCAGGATGGTGCACATGCCCGATGTACAGCAGCACTGCTGCCCGTGAAGCCGCATCGCCACCACCCAGAAGCAGTGCTACAGCGGGAAGTGTGAACTCACTCCCAGCTCCACCTACGCCATCCCAGTAAGAGGTAGCACCTTTCCAGCAGCCGAGGGTTTGACATTTTGGGTTCCACTTTCAGTCAAACTTTGTCCAACTAAAGACCAAAACAACAGCATCGTACCAACTGAAAAAGTCCTGCTTTGATTCTAAAGCCCAAATTTCTCTCTAATTGCACACATAGTAAGACTATGGAGTTTTAAAAAAGCTTTCCTCTAAACCAACCTTCTCAGCCGCTCTCCGGTAAGCTCTGGTGCGGAATCGGAGGAACACGGAGTCTCTGAGGAACTGCAGGTAAGGGTCAAAGCCTGGAGGCCGCAGCCCAGCGCCCAAGTTCGACGGACAAGAGCTCTCCACCAGGGTGCTGATCAGCTGACAGAACGCCCTCGTCAACGGGTATTCTTCACTCCGAGACTCTATTTCGTTCAGTTCAACCTTTGTAACCAAAGACAGAGAAGGGACAGAAACGTTGGCGGGATAAAACTATTGGTTATAAAGTGCACAGCATTTTGCAGCCATTAACTCATTAATATTGCCATAAAATCACACCACAAAAAGACACATAAAAAAGTACCAACTTGCAATCAGAAGACACAAAAGGATAGTGTCAATCTTTATCAACCCAAAAAGAATTTCAAATTCCAATATACTGCTCCCAACTTTGCATAAAGAGCAGAAAGTATCATTGTTTCTTTAAAAAAGAGAAAAAGCCAGTAGAGGGAGAATAAAATATAAACTAAGATGATTAAGTTCTCCCTTCACATTGACCCACGTATTGAACTTTCCGTCTGGATGTTTGTCGTGGGACATTCTTTTCCAGCTCTGAAACCTTACACATTGTGGATCCTTTCCGTAAGAGCTTCACCTCCATTTCAACTTCAACAGTGACTAAAAAAATCTCTTTAAATGTATTATATTTGAAAATTATAGAAACTCAGTACAGCAACAATCATTTTTCTTAGTCTTATCAAATGAGCATTGTAGAAACAGAGTATTTACACTGAAAGAAAAGCCTTACCTCGATGCCGACAGCTTGCCTCTGACTTGGCATCCTCACCGTCTGCAGTATCTTAACGTGAGAAGAAAGAGATGTCAGGTGCCTTCCTCACTCCTCAGTGACCATCATCTACCTCACCCCAGCATTCACACAGCCAAATGCACCGCCATCAGCAAGGACAATGGAGCAGCCTTCTGTCACGCTTATTACTAACACACATACTTCCCAGAGATCTCTCTCTCTCTCTCTCTCTCTCAGCAATAAAGTATGTGCTCATTTTCCTGTTTTATTTTATCAATTATTAGAATTTCAATTGACAGAAAACTGCCAGTAGAAAAACAGCTAAAAATCAGAAGACTTCTAACATCACAATCAGCCCACTTCCCTCTCACATCTGCATACGAGCATCTCCCAAGTGTCTACAGCCAGAAGCGCCTTCCATTCTGTGGCTCCTTTTTATCCAGGGCCAAGATTATGGACCTAAAAATGAGACCTCATGGAGAGCAAGAAAGATTCCTTGGGCTGCTATTAGAATTTTTGTGCAAATGTAGCACACAGTAGGCCCTTCCTTTAGTAGGACACTATCTGGTGTCAAAGTGAAGCTAGCGATTCTTCAGTCATTTGACAGGGGTAATAGACGGAAGGAACCGAAAGGACAAAGCTACACTGCCACACTTTACAAGAACAGAGGCATTTAAAGGCTTACCCCAGGCTGGCCTTGAAGCCAGACTGAAAGAAACACAGTCTACAGAGAGTTAGATGAAGGACAGTGTCCGCCAGCCTTGGGACACACTCATCTGACCCAAGAGAAAGCCCAAGACTGCACTGTCAGTCCAGGGATTTATTCTCTGCACCAAACTGTAACATTCTAATTAATAAACGCACACACGTACTACAAGTCACGACAGGACACATCTGTGATAGTACACGCCTGATGTTCTGCTTATAAAAACAAACACAAGTGTTCTCCTAACAGTACCTGAGTGTATTCCAGCGACTGCCAGAGGGAAGCGGCGATTTCCGGCGACTTCCCGAAGGCGGTGAGCGTCTTGAGCAGTTCGGCCTTGAGGACGGGCGGGATGCTGCACTGCAGGAGCCCCAGGATCACCACCACCGGGATCCACTGGGGGTGCTCACACAGAGCCAGGCGGGCGTTCTCACTCTGAGAAGGACACAAGGGGAGAATTCATTCAGGCGGGATCATCACCTGCATGGCCAGCACTTCTCCAGAGTGGTCAGAAGGTGAGCACATCCTTAAACAGCACCAGCTGTATGGTGTTCAAGTGGACAAGAGGGGGAGCCCGCACACTGCTTCAGTGCTTAAAGCACAGAGGAGGGACAGTCTGTGGGATTACTGTTAAAGCTACATAAGGAAAACAATACCGAGACAAATGGCATAGGAGCCGCATACATCTTACCACCATTCCTAACACAATGTAATATATAGTGTAATTGACCATACGATAGGGGCTCTGGTGCCTAGTGGTAAGAACTGGCACTGCAATCCCAAAGGATGCGCTTAGAATCCATGCAGGAAGGATTGGCAATCTCCTGTACGATGTACCGCCTCTGAAAACCCACTGGACGGTCAGCTATGGGTCGGTTCTGCCTTGATAGCACACACCAACAACAATAGTGAAGTATTGAAATAAATAGGTTAATACTTATTTAAATAAATAGGTTTTAAAACGTAAATTAATGATAGTAAGACTCACTTCATTCTAACTCGATGAGGAATAATTACTAACTTTATGTTTGGTTCTGTGTGACTAAGTATTGTCAGGAAAACCAAAGCCTTAGAAGACATCCTGACCCGTCAGAAGGAACGTCAGGCTGAGCAACTTAGTTTTGTGCCCTTGAACAAGAGAGAAAAAACGAGAACCGTCTGCATAGACGATATAATGAAAGTACACCTACCCACGTGATGATGGTGCCCGTGAGCTGTAAGAAGGCGATCAGGCCGTCCTGCTCCTTCTGGGTGATGCCGCGGGAAGGCAGGTGACGGTACTGCACGCTGTCGGCGCTGGGGAGGTCCTTGCGGAGGTGCTCATGGTAGAGCATCAGAGAGTGAAAGAAGTGCTCCCAGGACACCGGGCTGCCCCCAGCCCCCTGAATGTTCTCAACTGCAAACAAGCACAGAGAGGCCTCATATATCAAGGGAGTTCTGGTGGCCTAGTGGCAAGAAGCTGCACTGCAATCCCAGAGGCGCGCAGTTCAAATCCACCAGATGCTCTGCTGGAGAAGGAGAGACAATCCCTTCCTGTACCAGTCAGATCCCATTTGACGGTAAACACACACACACAGAGAGGTCTCATGTCAATGCGTTCTAAGGGTCTGCTGGGGGATAAAGAGAGATTGATCTACTTGTTTTGGCATCTTAACAGAGTTCCAATTAGATATCTTTCTAATATCTTTGATATTATCCAGCATCACTTTTCAAATGACAATAACAAGAGAGCTCACAACACTATCTTAATTTATAAACTATAAAATTTATAAGCAGCATTTCAGGAAATCCTCCAAAATAAGAATTATCACTTAAGAAATGTATTAAAAGTGAATTAGAATCAACTAATGCCAAAAGAATGGTTTTGTAATAAAAGTATAGATGTATCTTAAAAAAAAAAACAACAATGTGGCAGACAGGACTGACAGGCCCCAGCTCCCAGCTGGAAACAAAGGAGGACACTTCAATGATTTAGATCCTCCCAGAAGAGCTGTGGGTGAGCATTAACATTACTGGCTGCAACACCTCCATGATACATCTTCAAGTATATGAACATGTACGGCCAAGCACAATCAATAAGAGTGCATCTAAATTCCAAAATCAATCTCCATAATAGTCTATGTGTTTCCTACTGCCAAAGGGGCCCTTTAGAGTAGTGAGAGAAGATCTTCACCCTGAAACCCACAGCGTCCCTTTTCAGCAGGAAGTAGCTAAGAGAATACGCCATCCCCTTTTCCTTATGAATCAGGGTGAAGTGATAGGGAATGGCAAAGGACACACTGACAAAGGAGATTAATCAGAACTGGCTTTGACAAACACAGTGGCAATTGGACAATTAAAACGGACATTGGGGGGGAAGAAGAACGAACTGGGGAGGAGGGTAGAGAAAACGGTGCAACAATGAATGAATGAAAACCCAAAATCTCTGTAAATGTTCATTAAAACTAAAAAAATTAAAAAAAAGAAAAAGTGAATTAGAATCCCTTGGTGAACCAGAAGCTTGGAGGAATTTTTCCTTGGAACTAAGAACGTGGTGTGAGTCCGTGAGAGGGGCAGCTGGGTGAGATACACAGGTGCCACACACAGGTGCCCCGAGAACAGACCTGTCGATCCACTTTTGAAAATCTAGCCATTCAACAGTCTAGAGACTTTGTGGAGCCATGGGAGAACGCCTGAAACTGTGCCTGCGAGGACATCTTTAAACCTTACACCAAAAATACCTCTCCCCGTCTCCTTACAGCCACATGGTTTACCATCACTAGTGGTGAAGGGGGGAAAAGTCTTGGGAATTGTGCTCTTGAAGAACTGTTGACTGGCATAAAAGTGACAATAGCAACCTGAAAGACTAGACGGGAACCTTCCAAGACGGTGAGTTTATGGGATGAGAAATAACTCAGGGAAAAAGGATGCGGGTGGCTGCACAGATGAGCGTCATCGCCGTCACTACAGAGCACACGCACAAACAGCAGAACTGGTGTGTGTTTTGCTAAACACCAACAAAATGCAATTTTTAAAAAGCTATAGGATATTTGCTTGGCTCCGGAAACTCTATGTACAATGCTCAGGCCTTTCGTTCACAGGGTCGCTATGAGTCATCTATGACTCGACGGCACCTAACAACAACAACAACATGGACATTTGCAGTACTTACTCTAACATACAGACTGGTAACTGGCTTTAAGCATGAGACAGTGCCCACGTGCATGAAAAAGGAAATGACTGTGGCAGGAGTTGCCGTCCTGCTCCTCAGGAGTGAGCCTTGTGCCACCCAGCTGGTAATCAGACTGGGCAATTCCAGAACAAAGACTGAGGCCAAGCCCCAAAGACGAGAAGGCTACACTCTAGATATGTCAACCACAAGTCCCCATGGCGTGACAAATACTGGGGACGAAAGCATAGCAGACAGGACAGAAAAACTGACCACAGTCCCAACCCCAGCCTCAGGGCTCAGCACAGCTTGATTCCAGCCACGACCGGCCAGTAGCCTGTGAACTTAGGGAAATCACTTCACTTCTCTCAGGTTCTTTCTGGGAAAATGAAAACAGGAATATCTACCTAATAATGCAGGCACTTAAACATTTCTTTTTCCTCCTCTCTGCAGTGCTTTGAGTTTAACCAGACCCAAATCTGAACATTAAATAAGCAAACTAGATGACTTGAGAGGAAAATTCTTAAGTATAAAAATGTCAAAGGCAAATTTTCTAAAAAATTCATGCAAATAAAAGAAACCAATTTTTTGCAGCTAAGCTATACTTTGCATTGTACAACCACAGACTTGTCCTTAAAAATGCATGACTTAGGGGAGCTCTGGTGACCTGGTAGCAAGAAGCTGCATTGCAATCCCAGAGGCTCAAGGTTCAAATCCAACAGATGTTCTGCCGGGGAAGGAGGGATAATCTCCTCCAGCACCAGTCAGATCCAATTCGATGGTGGTACACACACAAAGATAGATAGATAGATAGATAGATAGATAGATAGATAGATAGATAGATAGATAGATTAGATAGATAAATAAATAAATAAATGCATGACTTAGGGAGCTCTGGGGGCCTAGTGGCAAGAAGCTGCACTGCAATCCCAGAGGTATGCAGTTTGAATCCACCAGATGCTCTGCTGGAGAAGGAGGGGCAAGCTCCTCCTGTACCAGTCAGATCTGATTTGACGGTACACACAAAAAAAAATAATAAATTTTAAAAAAACTTTAAAAATGCATGACTTAAAAAAAAATAATGCATGACTTGTTAACATGGTCCATATTTCATAAAGCAGAATGGAAAATTCCCCAGGTTACATGACAATTGTGGTCTCACTGTACACGAAGCCACCAGGACACTTCCACCCCCTTCTTCTTATGAATCCATCATAAACAAGCCGCATTCTGGACCAGATAAAGCTGCTGAGCTCAGAGTGAACAACAAACTCACCATGACTGCCACCGTTGACCTTGAGTAGGCTGAAACAGTAGTGGGCGCACTGGGGCCCGCTGGCCAGCCCCCGGAGCATCTTCAGATAAGGAATATAAATGGTTGGAGGCAACAGGTCACCCATCTGCCTAACGAACTTTGATAAGACAACCTAAAATTAAAAAACAACCAAAGATGTGTATATATGAGAAAGGATATATGTGTACATATACATATTTCTTAACATAAAGGCAACAAAGATTGGGTTGTACAATTTGTTTGGCGGGGGGGGGTGAGAGAAATTGAAAGAATTTGTTCAAATTTGTATTTGAATTTTGTAAATAAACTGTTGTTGTTGTTATGTGCCGTTGAATCACTTGCAACTCACAGCGACCCTATGTACAACAGCCCTAAACTCTCCTCTGTCCTGTGCCAATCACGCTGTCTCCAATACACCGATCCCGATTACCCCAGTCACTGAATCAATCCACCTCACAGAGGGCCTTCCTCTCCTGCATCATCCCTCCACCATCCCAAGCATGATGTCCTTCTCCAAGGACCGGTCTCTCCTCACAACATGTCCAAAGTATGTTAGACGGAGCCTCAGAATCCTTGCCTCCAAGGAGCCACCCAGTTTAACCCTCTCCAGGACAAATCTGTTTGTTTTCCTAGCAGTCCATGGTATTCTCAATACTCTTCTCCAGCACCACAACTCAAAGGCATCAACTTTCCTCCTATCCTCCCTAGTGACTGTCCAACTCTCTGATGCATAACAAGTGATTGCAAAGACCATGGCCTGTATCAGATGCACCCTTCATCTCCAGAGAGACACCACTGCTCTTCAGTACTTTGGAGAGTCCCCAAAAGCAGACTTTCCCATCGCAATACATCTTTTAATTTCCTGGCTGCTGGTGCCAGGAGTGTTGACTGTGGAGCCAAGCAAACGAAAGCTGTGAATAATCTCAATCTCTTCACCATCCATCATGACGCTGCCAATTGGTCCAGTGGTGAGAATCTTTGTCTTCTTGACATTGAGCCTCAATCCATATTGAAGGCTGCAGTCCTTGACCCTCTGCAGCAAGCGCTTCAGGTCCTCCTCAGTTTCAGCAAGGGTTATGTCATCTGCATAACGCAGACTGTTGATAGATCTTCCACCCATCCTGATACCGCCTTTCTCCTAATAGAGCCCAGCCTCCCGGATAATCTGTTCTGCATACAGGTTGAAAAGGTATGGAGACAAGACACATCCTTGGTGTACGCCTTTCCCAATTTTGAACTATGCAGTGTTTCCTTACTCTGTTCTAATGACTGCCTCTTGGCCCAAGTATAGGTTTCTCATTAGCATGATCAAGTGTTCTGGGATTCCCATTCTTCTCCAAAAAAAAAAAGACAACGAATTAAAAAAGTAAGAATCTCACCGAAGACAAAAATAATCTGAAGTCCTTACTTATGAAAAACTGAGATTTTTTTCAAGTTTGTCACCAACAAATACTATTAACACAGTACTTTTTTTTTTTTTAAAAAGCACATTATTTCTTTCAAAGTATTTCAATGTCACAAAACATAAAACTACTCACACTTTAAATACAGGGAACTGAAGTAACTTATTCATCTAAAGTTAACCAGCAAACTCAAAGGTATTCTTAGAACCTACAGTCGGTTCATAAACCTTAGTTGAATTTAGCATAAAGAGGCCACAAACCCATGACCACTTTTGGATATCCTATTCTTTCTGTTTTCTGCTTCCTGAAAATACCTACCACGTTCACACATTCTTGTCTTCTACATTCACTTCTTAAACTTTTTCCTTCTTCTTAGCTTAGGGCATAAATCTATTATCTACAACTAAATAAATTTTCAGATTGTTGAATTCAGAGAGTTGGAACTCCAAGCTGAATATGGTAAGAGCTTTCTGGAAATTCTGGCTGAATCTTTCAGGTGCAACAATGGTTTGTGATTATGGAGGAAAACAATCATATCTGAAACAGCTACTCACAACTAGCCAGGACTGAAATGCCAACGAAGCCTGTGTTTTATTTTCTTTTTAAAAAGCACAACAGCAAAACAGAAATAGTACAAACAACGAAGCAAAGTATTAGAAGTATTAGACGAAGCAAAGTTGGGAAGATGATGGAGGCTGTACATTAAGACGTTAGGTGATTGTAATTGTTCTCTATCGTTTGTAATTGTTCTTTATCTTTTGAAATTTTTCATAAAAGAAAGACCAGAAAATGTTAAATTATGGGACAAGTCATCATTCAAAATCTATTTTTAAGGTGGAACAAATGAAATTTTTAAAAAAATTAAGACAGGCTCCATCTAACATACTTTGGACATGTTGTGAGGAGAGACCGGTCCTTAGAGAGGGACATCATGTTTGGGAGGGTGGAGGGACAGCGCAGGAGGGGAAGACCCTCTATGAGGTGGATTGATTCAGTGACTGGGGTAATCGGGATGGGAGTGTCAGAGACAACGCGATTGGCACAGGACAGAGTGGAGTTTAGGGCTGTTGTACAAAGGGTTGCTATGAGTCGCAAGCGACTTGACGGCACATAACAACAACAACAACATTTTAAAGAAAAAAATGGCTTTTGACCGCAGGTTATATAACAAAACTTATATACAGCATGAAAGCCTCTAGGACAGGAATCAAAATGTCAAGATTGAGGCAGCAATCCTTCTGCTTTGTTTGCCTCTGGCTCATCAGACTGTCGTTAGTTCAGGGTAGAAAACGCACTGCTCACTGAATAACTCCCAGGCCCCGTGCCCCATTCCTCACTCACATGCCCCTCTTCCACACTCATACATCTCCTCTGCTATCTTCCCTAACGCAGGAAGAGAGACGCATAACCGCCAGAGTTTATTGAAGGCAAACAAAAAGTATCAGTAAACTTAAATCAGTGACACATCAAGAACCTGGCTTTGTGGGAGCTCAGGTGGCCTAGTGGCAAGACGCTGCACTGTAATCCCAAAGGCATGTGGTTCGGATCCACCAGCTGCTCTGCTGGAGAAGGAGGGACAATATCGTCCTGTACCAGTCAGATCTGATTTGACAGTACATGCACATCAAATAATAAAAAATTTTAAAAAAATACATAAATAGAAAAGAACCTAGCCTCGAATGAGTCAAACACATAGCTAGTGTCTAATAAAAGTCTAGACTACATGAACTCCAAAATGCTCAGAATTTCATTTTAAGGACTTCCAATTTTCTTAAATGGAATGATCAAGTGCTGGTTTCTGAAAGAAGGACTTCTCTAGAGGCTCAGTAACCACCCCATAAAAGAGAGCAAAGGAGCACTGACCTGGCGCTGTGGGGGCCGCTGATGGGCCACCCCGAGGTAGGAGCCCAGGATGGTGGAGGTCTGAAGCGGCTCGGAGGGGCACCAGTACTCCAGGGCCAGCTCCAAGTTGAAGGAGTTCTTTTTATACAGCTCACCAATCTGCAAACAGGAAGCAAAGTCACAGTGGGGAAGCATCTGTACTCTTTACATCACTTTTAAATGAAAAAGTCCATTTTCAATCCCAGTCCCTGTGGAGTTAAGACGTTACACCGGAAGCTCAACTCTCCGGTCTGCCGGCTTACCAGGAGCATCAAGTGTTCGAGATCCCGGCGAAGGGAGACAGGAGGCTCATTGCCCATCTGCACACTCATGTGAATCATTCGAGCATCTTCATCGGCCCGGTTCCGCAACTGCTTCACCTAGTCAATACGTCAGACGTGGTTTAAAGAGACAAGTTTATTACATATGAGTCACTAACAATAAAATCAGGCAGGCGAGACGTGACTCACAGAAAAACAATGCCTATGTATCTATTCTACATTAATGATGCAAAGGACACAGAAAATTGGGGGGAGAGATGAATCAAGAGACGAGAAGAGACCATGAACGTCCGCCCACATACCGAAGGGTCAACCAGTTTCTGACAAGGAGCCACAGTGATTCAATGGCAGTCTTTTCAACAATTAGACATCCGTTTGCAAAAAATAAACCTTGACCCACCTCATATACAAAATTCATTCAAAACCAAACATAGGTCTAACTGAAAGTCTAAAAGCTACAAAGTCTACAATATCTGTGATTGATGGTAGGCAGATGCAACAAGTTGTTGTTGTTGTTTGATGCCGTCGAGTCGAAGACGACTCACAGCGACCCTGTGAACGAACAGCCTGAGCACTGTTCGTACATAGAGTTTCCGGAGGCAAACCATTTCGGAAGTGGATGCCGCTCCTGCTTCCAGGGCAACAAGTAGAAGGAGGAAAAAGTGTGATACATTGGACATCATTTTTAAAAGAACGGTTTGCACTTTAAAAGATACTATTAAGCCTTTATCTGTTTATCTTTCCATAATCAAAGTCCTCCCTGGTCTATTAACTAGGAAAAGCTTTAACTTTCCTCAGATGTAAAATCAAAGGGTTAGCAAGACTTCTTCCTATTAGAAAATGCCAGGACTACCAAGCCCTTCCACACTGCTGGCTGAGGTCTCAATTTACCTGTCAGTCCTCTGTGGTTATTCCAGCCCTAAGAGAGTGAGTTACCGTCACCCTAAAAACAAAGCCATGTCACTACTGCCTCCACCTCATTCACCTACTACATCTTCCTATACTGCCCTGTGTCTGTGTCTTATCACCCCAGCTAGGTTACAGAGTCTTGGTTGGAAGTGAACAAGTACTCTGCTTTTTTTCTCTTCTTCACACGTACTATAATACCTGGAATGCAGGGCAAACTCAAGACACATTTGCTTCATTAAATAATGCAGAAGTACCTCACTGTATGATGGTTCTAATTCCCAGTCCTTTTCCACCTATCCTGTGTTTTTCAAGAGGTCTGGTATCAGAACTGTGTGAAAGCGCTACAAGTATACAACCATCAGGATATTTTTTATACCATCAAGGTATTGGTTTTATTTACACAGCTTTCCTCTCGTTTACCTCCTGCCACTATGGTGAGGGTCTCTCTTGCCACGAGCACACGGAGGGGAGCGTGCACTGTGAAGAGACCGTTTTCTGAGTCTGTTACAGCGTAAGCCCTCAATTCAATGAGCAGTCTTTGCATTAGTTTCTTCTTGCCACTAGGCCACCAGAGCTCCCCCTGCATTAGTTTCTTAACCCATTGCTTCACACGCACCTAGGCCAAAACCACACAGACACTACAATTAAGGGTCTAACCAAGACTAGGAGATGTGGAAGCTGGAGGATTCCTATTGTCTTTTATAAGTCATGCATTAAGATATTGAGTAAGGCCAACCTTAGCATTGACTCTAAGAGTTTAAATTCTCCATTCATAAAACCTTTTCCATTTTACCTGTCACTTCCTGAGTCTCATTCACTCTCTGTGACAAATGTTTCCTCCTATCACCTCATTCTCCGTTAACAGGTTTTGTATCATTGTACGTGTGTGAATCACAAACTAACTAAACAAAAAGCTTCACAGATTAAAACACTGAAAATTACTGTCAAACTTGAGTCTGTGCCTAAGGGTTTTATTAGTTTCTGAAACATAAACTTGGTCAATCAGGCCCGTTGTAAATAACCCAAGAATTCCACTGCCTGCAGGGGACTTACCTTCATCGGCATCAGTGCGAGGAAATCTGTGATGAGATTGTGCATTCTCCGGATATAAAACTCCTCCTGGAAGAAGCTCTCCGAGGCGACCACAGACTCCGTGAGGAACAGGAAAACACCGTCAGAGATGGCAAGCTCCGCCATGGCCTCGTCTGCTTCCGTGAACTCGGCCAGCGCTGGGGAGGCATTCAGAAAAACATTACATGGGGGAGACCTCACTGACCCAGATTACAGCACCTCGTAGTGGTCTGCTGCTGGTTCAAAATCCAGCTCTTTCCCCAACCTCCCAGCATGTGCTACACATAAAATGAGGCTGTGTAGAACTCTAATAGACCCACACACCCCAGGAGAGAACTAGAAGAATTACATTAGAGAAAAAATGCCCTTCATATTGTGATGGTCAATGAAAATTACTTAGGCGAAGAATGAGGTAACAGGGCTGTGTCCAAACGGTACCATGCTCAAGTAAGGCTGAGACACTGACCTCTGTGGGTCAGTCAGAAAGAAGGCTCCAGAATGAAGGACAAAACCCTAACATAACCGTTTGGTAATTTAGTGACGAAGTAACTAAAACTGGAAAACTAAATCTTAAGAACAGATTGTTCTAACTTATCAATCTGCTTTTTAACTTTTTAATTGGAAATATTCAAATACATCTAAAAATAGGCTAGTATAAAGGAACGCTACACACCCATCTCTGTCACTTCCCCACTATCAACTGAAGGCTCTCATTTCATCTCTACCGCCCTTTTATCATTTCACCCACAAATATTTCCGTATATACCTCAAAGATAAATTAAGGACAAAACAAAAATAAATCCACATTCACGCACACCAGCTCATTAACATATTTTAAAAAGCAAACAATTGTTTCATATCAAATAGTGGGCAAATTTCCAATTGGTTCATAAATATCAAGAAAAGCTTTGCTTTAGATTTAGCGTGCTGTTTGTGAGAAGGTTCAGGAATACAGGGAGGCCAGAAGAGTCTCAATCAGAGCAAAGTGGAGTTTGTTCCTCTTTTCAGGTGTATTCTCATTTTAAAGTAATTCCACCATATCTTTCCATTCCATGTACAGTTAGTTTCTTAATTCTTATCATGACTAATAATGGCAACATTAATTAATATTGTTAATATGATTAGTTTAATCTTTTACTTGTTTTGGAAATACTAGAATTAAAACTGCAAGATGATCCATCTATAAACTATTTCTAGATGTGTATTTAGATGATAAAAACAGCATCAATATCTTAATATAAATTATGTTCTAATATTTAAAAAGTATGTTAGGATATTACAAAATGTGTTACTATAAATTGTGGTATTTCCAAACATATTTTTTTTTATAATTTGAGAATGTAACTAACATGCCCAATGAATTTTTTTCAAAAATTCATAAAGGGAATAGGAAAGAATTTTTCAAAAGTGTGATTTTTTGTTAAAGTTGTCATAACTGCCAAAAGGTAGAAATGAGTCAAGCACTCCGCAATGAATGAAAGGGAAAACCAACGTAGAGCGTCCATACGGTGCACTGTTATTTACCCACAAGAGATGGGCTCATTCCTGACATGTCACAGTTGGGATAAGCAAGCATTATGCTGAGTGAAGTCAGTCAGACTCAAAAGAACAGACAGTGCTTGATCCCACTTGTGAACTCTCTACGTACAGAGAAAAGATTCAGGTTTATCAGTGGTTACCAGGAGCTCGGAGGAAGTACGAGTGGGAGCTATCGAAGAGGAGGAACTGAGTTTCTGTTGATGAAAACGTTCAGAAATGGACAGCAACCATGATACCACAAGACGGCGACTGTAACTACTGTCACTGAACTGTGCATTAAAAGTTATTAAGGTAACTTTTTGTTATGTGTATTTCATTGCATTTACAAGTAGAGGGAGGAGGGAAAACCACACACACATGTCTAGATTATCTCAAGAAGTCTACCATTGAGGATAAGCTACTCCTCTTTTCTGGAGATTTTGAAAGTGAAAATTAACACAGAAAAAATATTTTTATGCTTTCAAAATTTAAATTATAATACCTCCAATTACCCATAGAGATGGGGCTTGAGACCAGGTCTATACCTACAGGTCTATTCTTACCTACTGCACCACAGCAAATTAGCAGATTTTATTCTGTCCTCAAGATTAGGCCAATGGCACAATAAATTGCAGCGTGTGAACTGATTAAATAATACATAACTACTTCAAGCTCTAAAGGGCAATGTGACATCAGAAAAAGCACTGAAATAATCCAAATGAGCATGAAATAACTGCAAAATTGAATCGCCTCTTCAACCACATACTTGTCCTTGACTGTGAGAAATAAAAAACATTATGAAAATTTGGTCCATGAGAGACTCTGAGCTGCCCATACAAGAAAGGCTTTCTCATTAGTAATATTATTGTTATGACAGGAGTCCAGAAAGTAGCACAGTGGAGAGGACTTGGGAGGAGGGATTGAATAACAATGAAAGAATTTTTTTTTTACTTTGCAAAAAGAAAAGTGAATGGGGGGAGGGGTGGGCAGGGAGAAAAGTGCAAAAATGAATGAATGGAAATCCAAAGTCTCTATAAACTTTCATTAAAATCAATTTAAAATAAAATTTTTTAAAAAAGGCTTTCTCTTTAGACCTCTTGAGAACAACTGGACCCTTGGGAACAAGATGTTCTAGAATCACAGAGCTGATAAGATGCTGGAACCTGCCGACAGCCTGGCAGCAGGCAACACTGACGTGTGCGGCAAACTTCAACAAAGTCTTACAGACTGACCTTCAAAACGCAAAGAAATGGCAGTCCTTGAGATTAAAAAACTAGAGAAAAAGCAAATTTCTCCTGTCTTGTCAGGGTGAGACAGAGAGATAAAACTTCCATGTAAACAGAAGATGAGTGTGTGCTGCCTTGTACTGTATGACGGAGAGAGGGTGAGGAACCAGTGAACTACCACACGGATAGTAACAGTCCCCAAATTTCAGGGCCACTCCCACTGGTACAAACCTCTCTTTTCTATTATCCCAAATTTTAAAATACTATTAGTTTTTAATTCAACACAATGTGAAAAGTTTGTTTGTGGGCATAACTAAGAAGGGAATGAATAAAAACGAAAATAGCAGTAATTTTTTAAAAAATATTTAATGCACTGCCTTAATTTACAATTTTAAGTTCTTACTGTGAGGGAGAAGCTTAAAGAGCATTTTTCTAGGGTTAAGAACAGGAGGAACATTAAACGTAACTTTTTTTGGTACTCAGGGGAAATTAATAGGTCTGATGAACCACATTTACTATTCTTTTTGGAGACACCTTTAATAGTTACGTAAGGAGAGACCGGTCCTTGGGGAGGGACAGCATGCTTGGTAGGGTTGAGGGACAGTGCAGGAGGGGAAGGCCCTCTATGAGGTGGATAGATTCAGTGACTGGGGTAATCGGGATGGGTGTGTCAGACGCAGTGCGATTGGCACAGGACAGAGCAGAGTTTAGGGCTGTGGTACATAGGGTCGCTATGAGTCACAAGCAACTCTACAGCACATAACAACAACAAGTATACACAATGTTGCAGTGCATAATTTGCTGGTGCTATCATTCACAAATGTTCACTCACAGACATTTCAAGATTGGATTTTAAAATGATAATAAAATGCAACAATAAAGAAAATTTAAAAAATAAAATCGGTATCTTCAGCTTTCGTCAGACCCAATATACGACTGAATGGTCAGGGAAGTCAGAGTGCAACCCTATCATTAAGTCCGGGACTACTTCTGCATCTCACTCAAGTCTCATTTATTACACTCTAGATGTCTTACTACGTTCACTTTTACACAGTTCAAAAGTAATAACCTTTCCAAGGTATCATTAAACGGTGACATGTTACCTTCCAAAACAAAATTGTCGGCCAACAACTCACCTGTCACATCGGGCAGCTGGGAGATGCCCCTGAGGGCCAGCGCCCAGGCGAGCCTCACGGTGGCCTGCAGGCCGGGCAGCTTCCACAGCTGTGAGTCTTGCAGACGAGAATGAATCGCTGCGATGTACTGTCTGTCCGTCAGGAGCGGCAGCTGAAGGAGCATGTCTGAAACAAAGAGACACCAGTGAACCAAGAGCGAGGGAAGCAAAGCCTCACCCTGCAGATGAGGGAAAGGGTTTGGGCATATCCACCCCCACCGCCGTGACAATACTAATGCCCGGGGTACCAACCAAGACGCTGCTAGAAGGATTTCACACAAATAAAAAGTCAAAGAGAAAATAAACCGTGTCTCCACATTTTCACCACACTATTTTTTGTGATTCATGGATGTGTTCTATAAATAATTAGGAAAAGCATATAAATTCTCAAGTATAAAGCAATGCTATCTAAAGCACATAAGAGTTTCCAACAGCTCCTGAAACACGGCCCTTTGGTTCGGAGGCTCTGGCTCGTGAATTCTAGGACGTCCCGGGTAAGGGGCCTGGCAGCAGGGTTAGTGCTTCCTTCCTCCCTCATCAAGAGCTCGAGGGGCGCCGTGCACAGTGAGCTGCACTGCTCACCTAAAGGCCCGCCTCTCTAGCAGTTCAAATCCAGCAGGGGCTCCAAGGGCGCAGACGGCCAATCTTCTCCCCTGGGGATTTACAGCCCTGGAAATGCAACCCAGGGTCAGCTAGGAGTCAGTGCTGACTCAAGGACAATGACCGGGAGAGTATGATTCTACGTCCTGGCTCAGTGCAGGGTCTGGGGCTGTAAAGGCTGGCAAACTGAGCGGTGGAGGGGGAAGCAGACACCCACAGCACAATAATCGGTCTCTAGTCACCCGGAGCAACAACGGGAAAGGAGCACGAAGAAGACAGAGTCGGGGGCTGAAGGCTTCCATGAGTAACTGCTTCCTTTGCTAGACACTTGGAACGGGCTGCCATTGTCAACATTTTCATCAAAAAGACTCCGAAGAAGAATTCTGATCAAAAAATGGGAAAATGCAGAACAGAACTTCAAATTCTCACGGGTTCTACTGTAGACTTTCAAGGGCCACAGAGACTGGGAGAGTCCCTGAAACTACTGTCTTGAGATCATCCTTAAATCTTAAGGCAAAAATGCTCCCTGAAATCTTGCTGAAACTGAACAATGGTTGGTTCCTAGTAGAAAGGAGTGCCCTGAGCACTGCACTCTGTAAAAGCCATCTACATGGGTTCCCACTGACAAGAGCAGCTGCTGAGATTCGACAGGAATCATGGGGAAGGGCAAGCTGATGTTAATAAGGGAACAAAGAAACAGAGGGCAAGAAGGGTTGTACAATTCAAAGAACGTCTTCAATGCTACTAGATAAATAGTATACATGGAAACTGTCCAACAGGGGTCCGTTTTGCTGTGTGTCAAGAACCCTCGTGGACTGTGGCTACACTCTCAGCTTCTAACCAAAGGCTGGCAGCTGAAACCCACCAGCTGCTACAGTACAGAGGTCTGCTTCTGTGATATTCTGGAAAACACAATGTGGTACTTCCACTCTGTCTCCCAGGGTTGCTAGCACTTGGAATCAATCAACTTAATAGCATTTAGTTTGGTTTTGGGGTTTGCCCTGTGTATTCTAAGATAAATTAAATTCAAAAAGAAAGACAATTTCACGAGACAAAGGACAGCTAGAATTTAAAAGAGCAAACAAAAACGTATCAAAACACAGGATGTGAAATACAAATCTTCCACTCTAACTACAACATAAATGAAACTGCCAGCACGTAATTAAAGGATTGTCCATTCACAGCTCGATTGTATGACGGTGCTTCAAATAAGCAGGCGATTCTAAGCACTATGGTAACAGGGAAAACTACTGGCCACCTAAGAATTAACTTACTCCATTACAGAATGCATTCCTTTCACTATTTTCTCATACTTCCTTTTGATACCAACTTGGGATCCTAGCTCAGGAGTTTCAAACTTTAAACGAAGAGAACCATTTAATTCTGTTTCGAAAGTTTGTCTGCTATCACATGTGTCTTCATACTCAGTTCTGCCATTTATTAATCTGATATACAGAATGACCAACAAGACCTTCCAATCAAAATGCAGTAACACAAGCACCCTAACTTGATACAACTCCAGCCTATGGGAAAGCACGTCATATGTTCACCTACAACACGCTACAGCCGTTCCACACAGCTTGCGAGGATCCCGGTTTATAGCCTCCACTTAAACCATAAAGGACCAGTGTCCAGGGCCTCGTGGCCCTTCCTTAACTCTCCAGCTCACCTGACTCAGCACAGGAAGCCTGGCAAGTGCCCTAGATCTCAGCTCTCTGACACATGCCTCAGTGGGTGACAACTCACTAAGTGTGATTGTAGTTTAAACAATGACTAAGGACAGTCACCAAAAAGAAGTGAGAAACGTACCAAATGAATGATCTGGGTGGTACAACCCACATGGACAGGGGATGACTGCTGAAATTATCAGAAACATTGATGATTTTAAATAGGGATCTTTTTTTTTCTTCTTAAGTAAAGGTCATTTTGATGATTCTATGTTCTAAGTGGCAACAAGACTATCAAGTGAAATTTAAGGTATTTTCTATAAATACCTCACAGAAAATATAAGTCAAAGATGATACATTACTAAATTTATAGTCATGCATTCTGAGAAAAGAAACAAGTACGATGAGCCTGTGTAAATCCTAGTCTTCCAGATCCTTTAACATGTTCCCATTCTAAAAGACAGAAACACCCACCAGTGCTGCAAGTGATTCCACTGTGATCCCTCCCTCCCAATGCTAACCATGGGGGGTGCACGGTCAAGTTAATGCCAACTCTTCACGGCCCCTTCAGGGCAGAACAGAACCCTCATTACAGTTTCTGATGCTGTATATCTTTCCAGGAACAGCCTGTGTCATCTTCTATAAAGTGCTTGTTGGGTTCAAACCACCGACCTTTCAGACAGCAGCTCAAAACTTAACCCACCATGCCACCGGGGCTTCCCAGCTTTTTAAAATGTTAGCAGGTAAACATCACCCTTCTTAAGAGGAAATACCAAGTTTTCATCATTCCAACTTAAGAATGAGAGCATTAATAGTAGAAAGCCCAGTACCATCTCTTTCCTCGCTGCTCTGCTCTATAAAACTGGTATCGAAGCAGTACAGGAGAGCCATGAGAAGAGCCAGGTTCACCGCGTCCAACGAGCCATTAGCTTCCACAGACACTCGTTCCAGGTGGCCAATGAGGAGCAGCGTGTCATCTTTGCCTAGAGGTGACTGGCAAGCCCAGGCAAAAAGGCTTTCGGCCAGGGACTGCCTGCATTCCTTGATGAGATCCGAGACCTAGAAACAAGACAGAAGGTCGTCAGTGAAGCGCAACCACAAGGACACTGGGTCTTACTGCAAAATGTACTTAGAAAGACCGACTGACTAAATCATCATTTCTCCATCACGTGCTCCTGAAATCTCACCGTGGAACTCTGTGCAAATGCTACTGTTTAGTCTTCATTCCTAAGCTGCTAGCTCCTTTATGCAGAAACCATGTTCCTGAAGACCAGATTTCTAAGCCAGTTGTCCAGATTCTTCAATATGTGTGATTACACCTCTTATGCCTCTACTAAAAATATCCCGACTCCCGACTTTCCGGCCCAAGAGTTCCCAGGCAGCCCGCGAACTCCCCTCCCTGAACTCTTACCTCTTTGCGGTGCTTCTCACTGCCCAAGCCTCTCTCGCGCTGAAGTTTCTCAAACTCGTTGTGGACATCAATCTGTGACACCAGGGTTAGTACTTTGTAAGTCAATCCTTGCTCCATCAGCTCATCTGTAAAACGTGTTGCCATGGAAACCAGCTCTGGACTGTAATGAAAAGAAATCAAGCAAACAATGTCATAATGAACAATATTATCTGTAATGACCACGGCAAAGTCTTTCACAGAAACATCGCCTGACTGAAAGCAACCAGGATGGATGACGGCAGCGCCTCATTTCTCATCACTGAGCCCCAGCAGACTTTCATGAGGGAATAACTCCATCATCCTTTATCGGCAAACGATGTAAAATGGGTTTAAACTGCTGTGTCATTCTGGGTACCAGCCAAGAAATAAAAAGATGAGCTGCATTGGGAAAGTCGGCTGTCAGAGACCTCTCCAGAGTACTGAAGAGCAATGATATCAGTACGGAAACTAAGGTGCACCTGATACAGGCCATGGTCTTTGCAATTACTTGTTCAGAGAGCTGGACAATGACTAGGGATCACAGAAGGAGAGTTAATACCTTTGACCTGTGGTGCTGAAGAAGAGTATTGAATATACCATAGACTGCTAAGAGAAATGAAAAGGTTCATCCTGGAGAGGGTGAAGCCAGGCTACTCCTTGGAGGCAAGGACTCTGAAGCTTCGTCTGACATACTTTGGACATGTTGCAAGGAGGGATCAGTCTTTGGAGAGGGACATCATGCTTGGGAGGGTGGAGGGACAGAGGAGAGGAAGACCCTTAAATGAGATGTATTGATTCTGTCACTGGGGTAATGGGGATAGGCATGTAAGAGACAATAAGATTGGCACAGGATAGAGCACGGTTTAGGGCTGCTGTACGTAGGGTCGCTATGAGTTGCAGGAGACTCGATGGCACATAACAGGAACAACAACTAGCATTATACATAGTAAGGGAAAACTTTTGCTATTTCTAAAATGATTCCTTCTTCAAGTAGTTTTGCAGAACCCCTGATACCCTAAGAAGCAAGCATACCTGAGGTCGAGGGTCCACGTCTTCCCTCGTCTCGACTGTATCAAGGTTTTCAGGGAGTTTGCAATGCACCGCTTCCCGTCCCAGTAGAGAAGAACAGCTACTAATCCACGGGTGAGACCAGGGAAATGTGGCTGCTGGTGCTCTCCTACGAAGGGATGTTGTCAAAGAACAAAGTCAAGAAACACACGAGTGATATTTAGGATGACACAAAAACCATGACCCCAAACGTCAGTCCAGACGCTCGGCACCTCCGAGCTGCAGGGCCTGGGAGGGGAGAACACCGAGGATGCTTGACCACTAACCAGAGGGCTGGGGGTTGAAGTGCACCCAGTGTCACCTCAGGAGAGAGGCCTGGTGACCTACGCCTGAAAAAGCAGCTACCCCAAACCTCACGGGCACTGTGAATCAGAGCCAATTTAACAGCAATTGGACTTTGGTTTAAGTGTGCTTTGCTGGAACCATCTATCCACTGCCTACTCTCCCACCACAGCCTCGAGTGGCCCCCCAGTCCAGTCCAGCCCACCCCCAGACACCAGCACACTGCAGGGACCTCGCCTTCTCAGGCTCCCCATTTCACCTAATAGTGACCTCCACTTATTCGGTGAGGCCTGTCTCACAATGGTCAACAGAGTGTCATTTCACTCCAGGCACATTTTACTCTCTTACACACACAGACTCTTTTGAATGCATTTTAACCAGGCTTTTCTAGCAGTATGGCGCTTTCTCAAAAAGTTGCAAATAGAGATACCATTTGACCCAGCAATTCCACTACTGGGAATATACCCTGAAGAGACCATAGCTGACAT